AAATGCATTAAAAAGGATCGTAAATATTCTCTAGTTGTTCTCATTTGTTAAAATATTGCAAAGAATATTGAATTTCAAAGGCAAAATTGCCAAAATTTGACTTAAACGACGTTTTCGGCAATAATCTCCACGATTTCTCATCGATTCCCATACAAAATAAACTTCTTGCAAGATTTTTAACACTTAAAAATAGATTTTCCTCCTCAAAATCTCCGAAGGAGTTTGTGAGAATAAGTTTCATTTTGATTCTTTCTCATAAAAGGTAGAAAATAAGTGTTGGAAGTGTTTTTGGAAGTGGTGTACAGATTTCAGGCAAATAATCTCCCCCTTGGTGTACCTGAAAACACACACACACACACAAACCTTCGTCAGCTGCTTCGATTTAATCTTCACGCTCAGCACCAAAGTGACCATGTTGCGCCTCTCGCTCTCAATGCCTTTTTCTCGCGAGTGCTTTTTAATTGAATTTTCTGCTAAAGTCATTTCAGTAATAGATTTCCCAGATTTTTTTCTTACGCGCGCGCGCGAAATCTCACACAGAAGACTGCGCGAGAGGAGAGTGAATTATCCAGTGATAAGAGTGACAGAAGCCACATGATAAGCAACATGTGAGCTTAGCTTATGGGCGGAAGAGATTCAATGTGAAGAGGAAGAGTGGATTTTGTCTCAAAATTGATCTTAAAATGCCTCGAATTTTGCAGGATTTTTAATGCAAACAAAGCTGAAAGTTTAGCAATGAAATTTCACTAAAAACCTCATATTTAAATCCTCTTATGAAAAAAGATGTCAAATTAAATACAACTTTTAATTCGTCGCTGCTACTTTTTTCACTGATTTTAACCTATTTTTATGGCTAAATTAACGTTTTTTTTAATCATTTGTAATCCAGAATTGCGTTGAAACAGTAAGATTTATCCCGGAAAAGATTATGTACGACATTTCCTAGGACATTCCACGAATGTCCTTGTATTTTAGACGGACTTTCCCTACGAAATTACGCTTTATTTCTCGTGCGATCTTCACTTGAACCTCTTCAAGCCTTTTAGTGCGATTTAGGGTGTTTTTTTGTGAAAATTAGGCGAAAAGTGACATAAAAATGACAGAAATGACAGTTCGAGTGGAGAATTTTCGCGGCTATTTTTCTACTGGCGTTTTTTTTTTTGTTCTCCGGAATAGAAAGCACTTTGTGACCACGCAAAAAGCACCAAAACAAGCTGAATTAGTTCAGTTTTAACTCACGATAAATCAAAAATGAACTCCTGAAACACACTTGTCAAGTGGCCAGCGTGGCCAGATGACAGATGTCAAAGCTAGACGAAGAAATTATGCTTCAAATGTCTCATACAATCTTTACTCGAACCTCTTCTAGCTTTTAAATGCAATTTAGCGTGATTCTTACGAAAATTAGGTGAAAAGTGACATAAAAATGACAGAAATGACAGATTGATTGTAGATTTCGTGGCCATTTTTTCACGCAAATTTGATATAAACGTGTTTTTTTGTCCACAAGAACTAATTTTACAGCTTTTTTTCGTTCCCAAAGCGATTTTTTCAGCAATTTGTGTGGAAAGTTGAAAACATAACCTCAAAATTGACACTAGACGTCAAAATTTCACCTCGTGAGGTGGAAATTTTTACCCTGTCCTCTCCAAATAGTCTTGTATTTTCTATATAAGGTGAATTTTAATGGAATATCGTTGCATTCTTGGCTCCGTTTCAGCGATTAAAAGCTTCTTAACCTCAATTTTTTGAATTTGCCAACACGAATTTTCTCGCACTGCCACAAAGTGAGTGCTTTGACCCAAAACTTCATAGTGTATGACAGACGCTCACGAGGTCTTTATCACTTGGAATATTATCAGCTCTCGTTGCTATTGGTTACTCTGCTCTCATCTTCTGTCTCCAGACTTGGGAATCTGGGACGTTTGTCTATTGTGTGTTGAAATTCCATGTTTGAGCTTCAGTTGTGCTGAGAATCTGGTGGGTTTTGCCCACAGGTGTGTTAACTTGTGAGCGAAATGAAGATCGTGGAAGAGGCAAAAGATGGTTTTCTGGTGGAAAACGAGAGTGTTAGGTTAATTAGGTAATTCTTTTCCCCCCCCGCAAATTGATTGGGTGAAAGTGATTATTTTGTCGGGTGTTTCCAAGGGATTGATGATCACTTATCTTATCTCTCTCCCTCTCTCTCTTCTTTCTGTGCTTCTGTGTGTTAGTTTATCAATTTGTTGAATAGTGTGATTGCAATTATGGTTGAATGTGGACGAAAAACATTATTTTTTTTAAACTATTTCTGTAAACACTGTGAAAAAGAATCGAATTGATTAAGTTTAAAGTTAAATATTATGACATTTCGTGGGCTTTTATTTAATGGTGTCAAAATGGTATTGCGATTTTCACAAGAGGTCAAAAGTCGTGCTGTCACTTGAGTTTGGTGATATCAAATCTAATCTTCTCTCCCTCCGTCCGCCATTTTGAACATCCATAAAATACGTTTTACTCATTTGTTCAGCCTCTATGGCATAGAACGATCTCAAATTTCAGTACGATTTAGCTGGTCTTAAGACCTTTCCAACGACACCCTACTTGTGAGGCTTGATGTTCTGGGAGCGGAGATATGGAAGGTCAAAGTTCAGACCTTTACCGGCCTTTATCTCCGCTGTTTACCGACCGATTTTGATAATCTCTTCACCGAAAGACGTGTCTTGGTGTCCTTTAGTAGGCCAAATTCATTATTAGTCTGTGACGTCATAACGAATGCTGCCATATTGAAAAACCTTTGAACGCCTGTATCTCGACAAATCAGTAATGCGTTTAGATAAGATTTTAGTATGTTGTAGTTCAGGTCAGGACGTCTCTAAAAATAGGTTATAGTTTTTTGTGGATGCAATAGAACCGGAGTTTTATCAGTTCAAAGTTTTGAACTTTAAAACGTTATAACTTCGGTTCTTTTCGCCCAATCATTACGATTTTGGGCTCATTGGAAAGCTCTTGCAAAACTCTATGACTGTTTGAAACAACAGAAGTTCATCAGATCACCGCCAGAGGCGCTAACGTTAATAACAGAATTTTAAAATTTTTAAGTGAAGAATTTTGTTCCAAAGTCACACTATTTTGAGATAATTTCTTACGTATTTCGATAGTCCAGATTGAGACATTTCCAAAATGGGGTCAAACTTTTTCTATTGAAGCCATAGAATCAGAGTTTTAACTGTTTGAATTTCAGAAGTTGGATTTTATATTGCATATGAAAATTTCCATGCTTTCTTTCCTTCTAACTACATTCAGGGCACCATTCACCACATTATGCAACCCTTGAATGCTAAACAATATGCAAACGCAATTAGAGCCATTTTCCTGCCGAGCATTAATAAGAAATTACTGATTTTCTGGATATTATAATAAGAAATTGACTAAAAATCACACTTTCCAAAGAGCAAATTACAGCAAAATGTTGTTATTTTCATGGCTACATGATTGTTCTTGGACGATTGACTTGAAGTCCTCTTTTACACTTCATAGAAAACCTGTGAACAGGATTTGGGCCGCGATTGTGCGTCAGAAATTAAGAAATGCATAAAAAGCGTTAAATGATAGCGAAAAAACATACAAAAAACAAGTTTATAAGTCCAAATCAAGACTCATTTTTGATGTAAATGTCTTTAAGATATTCCAAACTCAATTAATGTGATTATCCGAGTTAGTTTTATGGTTAAACCATGGATTTAGAGCAAAATCTGCAGCGTCTTAAGAACATTTTCACTGTCTTTTTGCGCACACTTCTCTGCATTTTGCCAATATCTCAGCAATGAATTGAGATATCGTAATGATTTCAACGCCATTTGAAAGATCATAAAATTCTTAATGTTTTTTGTCTTAAGATAAATGTTCGAAAAATTGAAAGAAATACCGAATTTTTAGCACCAAAAGTAAAAATTGCCAAAATTTCATCATAAGTTGACGGGTGAATCGAAGACTATCAAAAGTGGTTTTTTTGATAGTCTTATGTCGTGTTGACGTCTTATGTCTGTTTGGATTGATCTTAATGTCTTCTTATCACGTGTAAGAATATTCCATTGGGTTCAGATCGGCAAAAATGAAAGAAATACGATTTTTCTTAAAAACTCTCGCGTGTAGAAAATTTCTCAACGTTGCGTTGAAAAGTATGTAAAGTCGACTTTTAATAGTTTGATGAGCGAAAAAAGATCTCAATTTTGCAGTTTTTAATCTTGCTACTTGTTAAACTGACTAGAAAATCCATCGTCAGTGTCTTATTTATCAATTGGATGCGTTCAAAAGTCATTTTTAAAAGGAATTAACGCAATTTTTGGAGAAAAGAAGTGTTTTTTTTTGCAATTTTCTAGGTTATGTCATTGATTAAAGACAAACTTTATCACTAAATAACCTCAAAAATCACTCATTCTTTCGCCTAAGCTGGTATAATTTGCAATTTACTGGTGCAATAATAAAGAAATTTGATAAAAACTACAAGATTTCAATGCAAAACTGTGTTAATTACGAAAGGTAGACGAAAGTGTGAGACAAAATGGGCAGGAAAAATGTAAAAAGTTGATTTTTACGAATTGGTTGAGAAAAAAGTACACAAAAATGATCAAAAACCGACTTTTTGTAGCAAATTTCTTCCAATTTGTCTATTAATTCTTCGTATTTTAGTTAATATTTCAACAAATAACAGTGGAAAAAGCTGGGAAATTCTGCATAAAAATAGAATTGAGCAATTTTATCAATTTACTGAAAGATAACAGAGAGTTTATGGAAAAATTAGGCAAAATTTCAAAGCAATTTCATCTCACAAACTTCAAATTGCTGACTTTTGACAGTCTTCACGGCATCCGTCGAAGTGTCTTAAGCTAATTTTCGCTACTGTAAATCAAGTTGGCCACGGAAGAGAGAAATTTTTTTCCCATTGTTTTTTACATTTTTGAAATCTTCATTCGCTCATCACGTTCTTCTTCTTCTCCTTCTTCTTCTTCTCTGCACAGGGACGTAAATGATGAGAGCGCGGCGGAGTCGCAGGGACTGCTGGAGCGTCCTGTGGCCACCGTGAGGCTTCCAGTGATTGGCATGACGTGTCAGTCGTGCGTGAGGAACATCGAGGGCAACATTGGGACGAAGGATGGCGTGTTCGGCATAAGAGTGTCGCTGGCGGAGAAGTGGGCGGAAGTGGAGTTCAATCCGTGCACGACAAGTGCCGCAGATCTCGCCGCCAGCATTGAGGACATGGGCTTTGAGTGTCCTTTTCGTGGTGCTGCGCAGACGGCGAAGATTCACATTGACGGCATGACGTGCAACAGTTGCGTGCGCAACATTCAGACCACTGTGGGTGGGCGTGAGGGCGTGAAGGAGATGAGAGTGAGTCTGGCGGACAAGGAGGCGTGCGTGACATTCGATGCGACACTGTGGACGGCCAAAGACATCGCCGAGGCCATCGAGGACATGGGCTTTGAGGCGCACGTGAAGGAGGAAGATGATAACAGTGCGCGCAATGGTAAGAAAGACAGTCCGCCGGCGCGACGGCCGCTGTCGGAGAGTCTCGTGATGCTGGGCGGCGGCGCAGAGAGTGGCAAGGAGACGACGTGGAGCAAGTGCTTCCTTCACATTCAGGGCATGACGTGCGCCAGCTGTGTGGCGGCGATTGAGAAGCACTGCCGGCGCATCTTCGGCGTGGACAGCATCTTGGTGGCACTGCTGGCCGCCAAGGCGGAGGTGAAGTACAATGCGCGCCACATCACGGCCGAGGACATTGCGCAGTCCATCAGCGAGCTGGGCTTCCCGGCGGAGATCATCGACGAGCCGGGCACGGGCGAGAGTGAGATTGAGGTGGAGATCAAGGGCATGACGTGCGCCAGTTGCGTCAGCAAGATCGAACAGACGGCACTCAAGTGTCCCGGCGTCACTCATGCCGCCGTGGCGCTCACCACGCGGCGTGGCAAGTTCCGCTTCAGCAACGAGCAAACTGGGCCGCGCACCATTTGCGATGCCATCAATGCGCTGGGCTTCGAGGCGACGTTGCTGTCCAACAAGGACAAGATGGCACACAGTTATCTGGAGCACAAGTGAGTGTTAAATGCTCTCTCTTTTTTCTTGCAGATATATTCTGGCTAACATGTGTTAACTTAACTTTGTGATTCGATTCAATCTTTTTCTTCCGATTATTTCGTGATTTTAAGTCAAATTTTTGAATATTTCGTAGAAAATTCTGATTATTTTCTGTATTTGTGATTAAAAATTGATTATTTCTTGATTCTTTGTTTTTTTTTTTAATTCAAATTTTGATTATTTTTTATTTTTTTCCGGAATATTTGATTAAAAATTGATTATTTCTTGATTATTTGTTTTTTTTTTAAATTCAAATTTTGATTATTTCGTACAAAATTCTGATTATTTTTTGAATATTTATTATTAAAATTGTTTATTTCATACAGAATTCTGATTATTTTTTCATTATTTGTTTTTTAAATTCAAATTTTGATTATTTTTTGATTTTTTTCCGGAATATTTGATTAAAAATTGATTATTTCTTGATTATTTGTTTTTTTAAATTCAAATTTTAATTATTTCGTACAAAATTCTGATTATTTTCTGAATATTTATTATTAAAATTGTTTATTTCATACAGAATTCTGATTATTTCTTGATTATTTTCTAAATATTTATCACAAATTTTGAAAATATAATTGAATAATTGTGAATATTAGAAATATTCTTGATTCATTGATTAAAAAAATCTTTTTTTTTTAAATATTATTTAGAATTTAATTATTTTTCAATTTTACTTTGGAAAATAATCATTTTTTGATAATTCTTTTTTAAATTTGATTATTTTGTATTTTTACTTGGGACAATAATAATTTTTTTTTTATTATTTTTTATTCAAAATTAAATTATTTTTCAATTTTACTTGGGAAAAAAATCATTTTTTGATTATTTCACACAAATAATTTTGATTATTTGATTGGAGAACATTAAGTTTCCTCAAAAATCACCCTTTGTTTATTTGCCCCTTGCATGTGTTACTTTCACAGAGCAATTCTCAGTAACACACAAGAAAATGTTAACCTTAAAACATGTAAAAGTTTAACATTCGAAATGAATAGGGGAAAACAGACCGTGTTTTAAGCAATTCCACAATGTGTGATTTTAAATTATTAAAATTCAAGTAAATATTTAAAGTAAATTCGCGATAAAAAGAATTTATTGCAGAAATCTGTCATGTTTATGCTTTAAAATGAGAGTCATAATGACAGATTGATTAAATTTTGCAAGATATTTGCAGATTTAAATCTGTTATTCTGCTTTTCACACAATTAAATGGAACAATTTCTGAAGGTTGTGTTAAAATTACACATTTTGAACTATTTTAAACCTAACACACATTCTGTGTATTCCAAGTGATTTTCACTTTTATTTGCATCCATTCTTGGATATTCTGTAATATTCCGACCGAGGATTGCTCAAGATGAAGAATGGACGAATCACTTCAGTAGGAATATCAATGAATGATTAGGAATGGATAAAATTCTTGATAAAATTAAACATCCAAAATCCAAAGAATACACGAAATATGTTGTAAATATTCCGTTTTCCAGTCGGAATACAAGATTTTCTACTATTACTTGTTTGGAAAACTACTAAAATTTTGCATTTTTGCGCCATTCTTACACATTTATAGTATTTAGAATAGTTTCAAGATCCCAAAATAAACATTAAAGCAATTAAAAGAATTTCGGAGTAAATAGTTAGTGAAATAAAAGCATTTCCGACTGTCAGATGGCGTTATTAGAAATAATTCTTGAAGAAATTGAGGGAAAAATGTCGAATCAAAGCTATAAAATGAAGGAAAATACACGAAAAAGGAAAGAGAAGTGATAAAGAGTTGTAAGAAAATCAGAACTGAAGGAAGACTTCACGATCTTGAGCTAAATTCTCTTAAATGATGAAGATTTGCGCTGGAATTTCTACATATGTTTCTAACTAGACGATTTCGAAAACTCAATTTCGAATTAGTTTTGGAGGGAAAGAATATTTCTGAAGAATTGATTGTGGAATATTATGGAATTTTGAGGAATGGAAATCACTTTTCTCCCACTTTAGCAACCCTTGGAAATTTCTTTTACCTTTGGAATGTTAAACTTTGGACACTAAAATGTTTAACACTTAACAGTTTAAGTGGGAATTGATTCCTTTCTTTAAATTTTGTTCACCAAGTAAACTGCAGAATGACTTTTTAACCTCTTTTTCCCCGGGGGTTTTTCCGCCACAGAGAGGAGATCCGGAAGTGGCGCAACGCCTTCCTGATCTCACTGGTGTTCGGCGGACCGTGCATGGTGGCCATGATTTACTTCATGGTGGAGATGGAGTATCACACGCACGAGGAGATGTGTTGTGTGCTGCCGGGCTTGTCCATGGAGAATCTGGTGATGTTTGTGCTGTCCACGCCGGTGCAATTCTTCGGCGGTTGGCATTTCTACGTGCAGGCGTATCGCGCCGTGCGTCATGGCTCAACGAACATGGATGTGCTGATCACGATGGCCACCACCATCAGCTACATCTACTCCGTGGCCGTGCTGGCCGCCGCGATGGCGCTGCAGCAAATCACGTCGCCACTCACGTTCTTCGACACGCCGCCAATGCTGCTGATCTTCATCTCGCTGGGTCGGTGGTTGGAGCACGTGGCCAAGGGGAAGACGTCGGAGGCGCTGTCGAAGTTGCTGTCACTGAAAGCCACCGAAGCCACTCTGGTGGTCATCAATGGGAACTTCGAGGTGTTGAGCGAGAAGGTGATCTCGGTGGATTATGTGCAGCGCGGTGACACGATTAAAGTCGTGCCGGGCAGCAAAGTGCCCGTGGATGGCAAAGTGTTGTACGGCAATTCCACATGTGACGAGAGTCTAATCACCGGTGAATCCATGCCGGTGCCGAAGAAGAAGGGCAACGTGGTCATCGGTGGATCTATCAATCAAAACGGCCTACTCTTCATGACGGCCACGCACACGGGTGAAAATACAACACTGGCACAGATTGTGCGTCTTGTGGAGGAGGCGCAGACGTCAAAGGCGCCAATTCAACAGTTGGCAGACAAGATTGCCGGCTACTTTGTGCCCTTTGTCATCGCCGTGTCCACAATCACGCTGATCGGCTGGACAATCAGTGGTTACATTGACATTGCGCACTTGCCGATGACGGAGGCGCAGAAGCGGGGCTTGAATCGCGAGGAGATCATCTTCAGCTACGCCTTCCGCTGCGCCCTCAGCGTGCTGGCCATCGCGTGTCCGTGCGCTCTGGGCTTGGCCACGCCCACCGCCGTCATGGTGGCCACGGGCGTCGGTGCGCTGCACGGCGTGCTGGTGAAGGGCGCCGGACCGCTGGAGAATGCACACAAGGTAAGACAACACACTCCCCTGACAATCCCAGAAGCTTCTGGCACAGAATCTAAGGATTTCCCGCCGAAAAACTGAGGCTTAAGTTCCACAAATGCATGAATTTATGATTCGGAGATTTGTTTTCACGATCTTAGGCATTAAAACATGTTTCTGTGAGTCGTTTTGGGAATAATTGATAAATTGTGAGGTTATGAATGACATCTTTTCAAAGCAATACTAAATGAGCTAAAATTTATTATTTTTACACTTTTGCGAACGTAAAATTTGTGAAAACACCCTAAAAAGATCCTTTTAAAATTGTGAAAAGATATTTTTGAGGTTATGTTTGACTTTTAAACTCTTTTCTGCTACAAAACAATCAAATTTGCTTATTATTCTTCAAATATGAAACTTGTAAGAGCTGTAAAAACACAATTCTTCCCATAACACATGAAAATCATTATAAATTCTGTCTTTTGACTTAAAATGGAGGGAATTCGGCCCCAAAAAGTCCTCAAAACTGAGTTTTTATAAGATCTCTTAGTGATATTTTGAGGTTATGGTCGAAAAAAGATACCCAAAAGACGATTTTAAGTGGTTTCTTACAGAATTATCGAATGGAAACTAAATACAACATAATCTTTCCCTTCAAATTAACTCCTTTGATGCCAAAAAATACTTTAAATTGTGTTAATATCAAACATAACCTCAAAATTTTTCATTTAGACTTGGAAAATGTCCATTTAGACAATTTTCTGGACAATTTTGACTGTGAATTAGCAATTTTTTAACATGATTTGTGATCCAGAAAGCTTTAGAACGGAGTTTTTGAAGATTTTTTGGTAATATTTTGAGGTTAGAATCAAAAAAGATGTCCAAAAACATCGGTTTAAGGTAGATTTTTATAGTAATCTTAAATGAAATCTCAAAAGATTGACTTTAATTTGGGAATTAATATAGTTTTAATTGATTCCACATTGTTGTAAAAGAAGAAAACTGGTTAAATTTGACAAATTTAATAAAAATACAAGAGATTAATTAGTAAATCAGTGATAAAAATAATTTGCAGCAAATATTTTTCATGTTTACACTTCAAAGCAGAGTCAAAATCACAGATAAATCCATTTTTGTGTAACTCTAACAGCTTCTGATTTGTCACTGTATTCTTTTACACATTCAAACAACTATAAGATACTGAAAAGACTTTTTTTTTGAGGTTATGTTTGACTTTTATACTGTTTTTCGCTGCAAAACAATCAAAATTGCTTGTGATTGTTTGAATGTGAAATGTGTAAAAGCAAAATTCCTTCATTTTAAAGTAACACATTCAGGCAGTACAAATTAGCTTAACACATGTGTTAACTAGAATAGCAAAAATCTCCTTTGAATACAAGTGGAGAATTTAGTTCTTTAACATTGTCAACATAAATTTAATGCGTAAATCCAAGGGGAGGGATAATATGGTTGTGGAAGTGGTGTACATTTTTTTCGGAAGTGTTTATCGTGTGTTGGGAAGTGGAAGTGTTGTAAAATTCAATATAATTTCATGATTTTTCATGATTTTCAGTCTATTTGATGACAAAAAACACGCGAAAATATTTATTTATTGCCTCTAAATGCTTTTAAACACAAGAATCTTTAATTTCTCAGCACAAAATGTGTTAGGAAAAACGCTCAAATAATCTATTTTCTTCAATTTTTCTCTGGAATAAGGCCTGATTCTTATTTCTAATAGGATTAATGGCAATTACTATCTATTGATGAGTGGACTAAATGCTGCCGAAACTTTGATTCTTGGCTTTTTCCCGGTTTTCCCGGACCAGACAGTCAATATTTTAATATCAATTTCAACTCTTTGACGCCATTTATTGCATTCAAAAGACATCTAATATAAAGAATAAGAATATTTACTACATTCGCGCCTTTTTCTCAATTTTCTACTGCGAAGTCTTTGAGTTGCGGCTGCCGCCGTCGGTCAAAATAGCCTCAGCGGGAAAAGAAAATGACAGAAAAGTCTTGCATAATTGGCTGAATTGTCCCAAAATACTTAAAAAAAAAAATTATTACTGAACCTAAACTGTTCTTATCTCAAAAAATAAGTTTTCTAATGGAGTTTAAGGTTTAAATACAAAAATATCTGTGATTGACTGCATTTTTGCACAGGAAAACCAATGAAAATCACTCAATTTGTATCATATTAATCAAAAGCACTTCTTTCCGGAAACAAAAATGAGCAACTTAAGTCCTTTCCTTCGAGTGGAAATGCATTAAAAAGGATCGTAAATATTCTCTAGTTGTTTTCATTTGATAAAATATTGCAAAGAATATTGAATTTCAAAGGCAAAATTGCCAAAATTTGACTTAAACGACGTTTTCGGCAATAATCTCCACGATTTCTCATCGATTCCCATACAAAATAAACTTCTTGTGAGATTTTTAACACTTTAAAACAGATTTTCCGCCTCATAATCTCCGAAGGAGTGTGTGAAAATAAGTTTCATTTTGATTCTTTCTCACAAATGGTAGAAAATAAGTGTTGGAAGTGTTTTTGGAAATGTGGTGTACAGATTTCAGGCAAATTATCTCCCTCTTGTGTAAAGCAGAATAGCAAAGAATGTTGTAAAATACATCTAACACATCTTTAACATTCCTCTGTTTTAGTGGGAATTCGATCAAAATGTATAAGAAGTTGTTTTTTCTTGGCAATGGCAGGTCAAGACGATTGTGTTCGACAAGACTGGCACAATCACGCATGGCATGCCGATGACGTCACGCATCTGTCTGTTCGTGAGGCCCGGCGTGTGCTCGCTGGCGCGCCTGCTGACCATCTTGGGCGGCGCCGAGAGCAACAGCGAGCATCCCATCGCCACGGCGGTGGTGAAGTTCGTGAAGGAGATGCTGGAAGTGGATGTGTTTGGCAAGTGTGCCAACTTCATGTCCGTGCCCGGCTGTGGCATCATGTGCAAGATCTCCAACATCGATGGCACACTCGCCAAGGCGCTGCAGTCTGAGAAGATTGTGAATTATGAGAATGCTCGACGCAATGGTGGTGATTTGGTGCTGATAAATGGCGTGGCCATTGAGGAGATCATCCCTGAACTGTCATCGTCGGAGCGCAAGACCAGAGAATTGCAGCAATTGCTGCAGATCGACAAGAGTGACGAGGAGATTGATCAACGAGAGACTTTCGCGACAATCGTGAGTAGAATTTTCTTACAAAACTCTGCAATTTCTCATTCCATGTCAATGGAAAAGATCTCTTTGTCACATTTTGTCCCTCTGAGAGGCTTTTTTTTTGTTTTCTTTTATGATAGTTTGATTTATGCTTGTGAAAAGCTCTGAAAACTCTGAAATTAACTGGGCGTTGCAACTTTAAGTTCTCCTTTAATATTTTTTATTAATAAACTGTCATAAATATGATTTTAACTAAAAGGTGTTGCAAGCTTTTGTGGAAGTGATAAAATATTTGGAATATTTGCAGAGAAAAAGCTTCAATTTCAACAAATTGAATCATTTTCTATACAATTCTACTTAGATTAAACAATTTTTATTGCTTTTCTAGGTTATGTGATTGATTTAAAACAGATTTTGTCGATTTAATAACCTTCAAAGTCATCAATTTCAGTCCTAGACTCATAAAATCTGTTCTTTATGGTATTAATAGGATTGGAGGAACGTTAGGAAACTATTTCTAATAGATCTTAGAAGCAGACATGACGGAATTCGCCTAAAACAACTGAACAATTCGTCGAAAAAGTTTTTCGCGAACTTATCCGCGCCTTTTTTTCCGCGAAATCAAAGTTTTTTCGCGGTCAATTTCGCTCCAAACTCTCTTTCTGGAATAAGATGTCCTTCTGGTTATTCCCCTTATTAAATGTCCTTTGTTGCGTAGCCGAAACACCTCCGTATGATCCTCCAGAGTCATGGGCTGTATGCGCCCCATAACTTAATATTCACTTCATCAAATTTTTATATTAAACAGTTCCAAAGTCGAGATAATAAATGAAAATCGAAAGGACAATTATCCTGAAGACACCCCGGATACATTTAAACCATATTAAGAACAGAAAACATACTTAAGTGGCAAAAAATTCTAATGTTACTCAGGTGGCTCTATTTAATTTGGAGAGCCGTTTATGCATAGGTTCGGTTTTAGTGTCACGAACGGATCAAGTATTAGGCCGAATGTTTTCTAACTTGGCATGATAATTACTCATTAATGAGGGAAGATTGGTGGAAAATTTCAGATCTCTAGCTTCACGTGAAAATTCGCGGCACACCGATATGTCTCAGGGCCTTGGGTGGCTCTATTTAATTTGGAGTCACTGTATATGAAAACGTTAAGTTGCAACGCCCGATTAGTATTTTATATGAACTGAAATGCGAAATCCGTAAAGTTGCAACGACTCAGAAATCAGTTTTTGATGAGAGAAAACTCTCGAAATTGAAAAAAGTCACTTCAAATCACCCTTTTTTCCCTGCTTTCGTCGCGTGATATTGAATTTACAAAAGGCTGTGAAGATAACAATGATAAACAACACATTCATATTAATATCGTGCTTCTCAATTGTTTTTTTTTTATTGTCAAAAAGGCACTTTTCTCATCACGAAGAGAGAGAGAGTCAAAAAAAAAGTGAGCCATAAAAGGGCTCAAGAACACAAGTGTATTTGTAAATTTTATAAACACAATCGAAGTTATCCATGAAAATTGTGGATGAACAAAACATATTTCTCTCGGGATCACAAAATTTTTTCTTCAGAGGTATTTTAAAAAAAAAGTGGTGTAAAATTTGGTGATCGTGTCAATTGTAATCCACGCGAATTCTCTTCGCCGGCGGCTCCATGAATTGCTCATCGGACAGCTCATAAACCGGCGTCGTGGCCGTGACGCTACTCTGGACGCGCGGCGGCTGTGCAGAGTCACCACTTCGGCGGTTCTGGCGCGGCGGACTGCCGTTGTCCATCAGCTGTGCGGCGGCAAGTCGCGTGCGTTCGTCCGTCATCCACTTGTACTTCAACACATCCTCAATTGATGGACGTTTCTCCACGGCGGCGCGCAGACAATCGAAGATCAACACTTGCACATCTTTGCTCAGTGTCCGGAAGCACGAACTCGACGTCATCAGACGCCGTCCGTTGCGCAGAACAAAGGGAAAATCCCCACAAACGGCCGTGTAAAGAAGCACGCCGAGACTCCAAATGTCCACCTTTTTCAATGTGTGTCAATTGCAAAAGAATTCATTACAAAAGATCGAATTGGATTGAACAGAAGACAGAGAAAAACGACAAAGAAGCAGAAACTGAAGAATTTGACAAAAAAACACTTTGGCAATTGGAAAAAGGAACATATAAAAAAAAAGTCAAGGGGGAGATAATGTGATCAGAAGCTTTCTCAACAAATTAGCGCAATTCTTTGAATCACCTTCAAGTAATTTTACAAAAGGAAAATCAAGTTAATATCATAAAGTATAAAGGTAAAGTGACTAAAAAAAAAAAACTTCAATTCTTGTGTGAAAATCAAAATTAAAATAGCAGTTTTTAACAATTTACACTCAAATAGTCAAACATATGAAGTAATTCTGAGTCAAACACGAAAATGTTAAACGTTCAAACATGTTAAAGTTTAATATTCGAAATGAATAAGGAAAAACATTGGTAAAATATGCCTAAATGATTAAAATACAAGTAAATATTTAGTGTAAATCTACGATAAAAAGAATTTATTGCAGAAATCTTTCATGTTTATGCCTTAAAATGAGAGTCACAATGACAGATTGATTAATTTTGGTAGGATATTTGCGGATTAAGATCTGTCAATCTGCTTTTAACACAATTAAATGAAACAACTTCTGAAGATTGTGTTAAAATTACACATTTTGGGCGATACAAAATGGCTTAACACATAAGTGGTGGAATTTTTTAACACAATCGCCATTTTAAGCCTTGCAAAATGTGACTCAGAATAACAAAGATGTGTGTTAAACCAATATAACACACTTTTTACATATTTTGTGTGACATATTTTCACTTCTTATGGAAAAAATCACAATTTTCATAATTTCACACTCAAAACAGTCGAACATAACCTCACAAAAGCTTTTTTTTTGTAGTAAGAAAAATGCAATTTTTAGGACTTTTCCCCCATTTCACGGTAAAAATTAGCAATTTAGAGTTTATTGGGAAGTAATATGAATTTAATATCATCTGAATCTGGCACTAAAAGTGACAGAAAAGATCTAAAAATGATTTATTGACTTGATTCATAACCTCAAAATTTGTTAAAAACTCCTTTTTCAATGGCTCTTAAAGTGTTTTCAGTTGGATATTAAGACAAAAATATCTTCTAATTGAATTCTTAGACCGTAAAATCAATTCTCTAAATTCAAAATCCATGAATTTTGAGCTTTAAAGTATGTTTTTGAGACAGAAAATCCTTTAATTTAATAACAATAGGGGTAGGTGGGGCAGTTTCAGATTCAAAATGCTGTTACAACTTTAGGATTTTTTCTTGAAAACAAAAAAAAACGACTGAATTTTATTGAAATAATCACAACGCTCAAATAAACTCTCATCTGTTGAGATTCAGAAAATGCCTCAAATTGGGCATTAAAACTTATGGTTTTTCCTCTAAAGGAGAATGAAAAGATGTTGTAATTATTTCAACGCTGCCCCGCTGTGGGGCAGTGTTAGAATGCATTTTAATTTACCATAAATTCCTTCGTGGAATTGTTGAATTGCAAGAAAATTATCAATTTGATGTCTTCTTTATGCACTGAGACTGTTTAATTCCCCGAAAACCACCTTTAGAGTACTATTTTTGAGACTTTTCTCGACCTTTGAAGGGAATATCAAAATTTCTTAGTGAGAAGCAAACGGCAGAAGTGAAAATTTCTTCTCTAATCAGTGATTTACGCGTTTATTTTCTCACTTTTCAACGTAGAAAACAATAAACTCAGCACAAAACTGCACTTTTGGAAATAATTTCAATGTTTTCCACAAGAAAACTTCGAGCGCGAAGCAAAAGTGAGGTTATGTCAGAATGTCAGAGCGCAAAGTGTTAAAACTGCCCCGCGAAGGATTCCAACGCTGCCCCATTGGGTGGTTTTTGTGCATTTTCCACCATCCTTCCATCGAATTTCCTTCGATTTTCACACAGAAATAAACGTATTAATCCGGTTTTCTAGGTTATGTCACGAATTAAGGACAAATTTACGCAATAATTGCATTTTAGAACATGAATTCTGCTAGTCTTTGGCAGGATTATTCATTTACAAGCAATTAACAGTGCTTTCTTGATCTTTTGATGCCAAGAAACACTGGCAAATTGCGCTAAGATTGAACATAACCTCAAAAAGAGTCAATTAGACAACTTTCTGAGCAATTTTGACTGTGATTCTGCAGTTTTAAGATCATTGACAAATCACAAGAGATGTTTTTTGAGCTGAATAGCTTTCGAACGGAGTTTTTGAAGATCTTTAAGTGATATTTTTGAGGTTATGATCAGTGAAGATGTTCAAAAACAGTGGTTTTAAGTCGATTTTTGATAAAAATATCGAAAGGAAACCTGAAGAAATTCATGTTCTCAAGAAATGTGAGGCAAATTTCGTCATTTGCTAAGACTAATAAATTGATTGATCGTGTCCAGGAGGAAAAGTTCTTGCATATTTAGAATCTCTACTTAACCCTCGAGAGCCCGTAATTGTGTTTCATGCGAATTGTGGCTTTGTTTATGGTAAAAACACACAATCAAAAAACAGCAAGAAAACTTTCATTTTCGTGTGATTTTCAATTTTTACTTATTTTTATCTAATATAAACAGTAAAGGTGACTTTCTGCAAATTTTCGTCAATTGTAGAACCTTTAAGAACTACAAACATTGTGTGAAGACTAGAAATTGATTAAATGTGAAAATCTATGAGAAAAATTTAAAAAAAAAAATCTGAAACTGCCCCGTTTATCCCTAAAATAGATATGAATAAAAAAAAAAGGGATTGAAGATGTCTAAGAAGTGATAGAAAAAGGTTAGGAAAATGCGTAAAATGTTTCAACTTCACGTGCACATTATCTCCCCCTTTGGCGAACACAAACAACAACAAATAAGTCGGTGTGTGAAAAGGACTCACCTTTTCCGTGTACGCGCCGGCATCGCTGTTCAACACTTCCGGCGCCACATATTGTGGCGTGCCGCACATTGTCTTCATGATGCTGTCCTTCTGCACGAATTTGCTCAGTCCAAAATCCGTCACTTTCACCAGCGTCACATCGTCATCGGTGGCAAGTAGAATATTCTCCGGCTTCAGGTCACGATGTGTGATGTTCTGGGCGTGCAAATAGCGCACAGCATAGCAAGTTTGGAGGAAATAGAGTCTGGCCAGATTCTCAGGCAATCGCTTGCGCGGATGCGTCGTGATGCGTTGACACAAATCACCACCATTCATCAACTCCAGAAACATAAACACCGCCTCTGGTCGATTGATAATCTCATGCATCACAATCACACACGGATGCTTGAGACGCTTCATAATCTCAATCTCATTCAACACTCTTTGACTGCTGGCGCGTCCTGGTGCTTCGCTGAATTGGCACTTCTTCACGATCTTCATGGCGTACGGCGTGCATGAGCGCACGTGAAAGACTTTTATCACCTCACCACAGCCACCGGCGCCCAACTTGTGACCCACATAGTAGTGTTGACCAATTTCCGGCGGTAAATCCGCCACGGTGAAGTTGATGTTGAGATCGTAGAAGCGAAAGAGGTAGAATTTTGGCGTGAGAACACTGATAAAGTCACCGTTGCGCAACACGCGACTCTGTCCTTTGCCGACACGCGACGCCTCCAGGAATGTGCCATTGGTGCTGCGATCCTCCAGGATGGGTGGATTGAAGGGATGCCGAAGATCCCGACGGATGACAAAGTGTACTTTGCTGAGCTTCAGCAATTCACCCTGTGGCATTTCACACTTCGTGATGGTGAAACTCAGACACGAACTGTGAGCACCTTCACGACCAACTGACCACTCCTCGTCGAAGAGATCTGCAGAGGAATCATTAGAATGTCAAAGAGCAGTAAAACAGTCAAATAGCCATTGATTTACAATCTCGCAGAAGGAAAAATTTTTCATGTTAAACAGCAAAAGAATGAGAAAAAGATTCTCACACACACACACACTGATTTCGTCACTTCCATCAGCGACTCTGTGGTGTGTGACTTTTTTATTGTTTGTGAAAGACAAGGATTGACTCAAGTGGGTGAAAAGTGGTTTCTATTCTTCAAATTTCCCTAATATCCATTTCCATTCCTTTCCATTCGAATTATTCCAATCCATTCTATCCATTCTTCGGAATATTCTTTCCCTTTAAGACTTATTTGAAATTGTATGTATGCGAAATCGTTTTAAAGAGAAAGATTTTTGCACAAAATCAATTCGTTTTTTTTTCGCTACTTTCTTGCCTTTTTCGAGCATTTTTCCTTCATTTTTTTTAGCTTTTTATCAGCAATTTTTCCCTCAATTTCTTTAAGAATTATCTCTAATAACCTCAATTTGATGGCCAGAATTGCTATTCTTTCTCCTAAATTCTTTTTAAAGCTTTAATCTTTATTTTGGGGTCTTGAAATTATTCTAGGGGTAAGTGGGGCAGCTTCAGATTCAAAATGCTGTTCCAACTTTAGGATTTTTTCTTGAAAAATCGGCTGAATATATTGAAATAATCACAACGCTCAAATAAACTCTCGTCTATTGAGCTTCAGAAAATGCCTTTCATTGGGCATTAAAACTGATCCTTTTTCCTCTAAAGGAGAATGAAAATAATATTGTAATTTATCTGAAACTGCCCCGCACGGGGATGTTTCGGATTGCTCTGGGGCAGCTTCAGATTTTCACTTATATTTACCTTAAATTCCATTGTGGAATTGTAAAATCGCGGACAAATGATCACTTTGAAATCTCTTCTACGCACTGACACTGTTTAATTCCCTAAAAATCGCCTTTAAAGTAATATTTTCGCGACTTTTCTGGACCCTTGCACGCACTGTCAAAATGTCTGAGCGAAAAGCAAGTTGCCCGTCATTTTTCCTGTGTCGCAACGCCACCATGCGTGAGTGGTGGCAACTTCAGTGCCACCACAAATCAAATCAGTGCAAATCAGTGTTTTTCGCGTGTATTTTCTCACTTTTCCACTAAGAAGTCGTTTAACGTGATGAAGCAATGCAGCACAGAACGGCACTTTGTGAAAAATCTTCAATATTTGCCACAAGAAAATTTCGACCGTGATGTTGCGTCATTCTGTCAGAGCGCGCTGTTGTCAGTCCGTGGCGATCCGAAACTGCCCCGTGTGTAGTGTTTGTGCATTTTCCACCACCCACTGAAAAGGCCGTGCCAAGGAGGAAAAGTTCGGGCATATTTAGAATCTCTACTTAACTCTCAATATCCTGTAAAAGAGTTTCACGCGAATTGTGGCTTTTTAAATGGAGAAAACACGCAATCAATTCGGCAGCAAAATTCTAGTTTGTGAGTGATTTTCAATTTTCACTTATTTTATCTAAACAGTCAAGGCAATCCTGTGCAAAGTTTCGTCAATTGTAGTCCTTAAGGACTACAAACATTGTGTGAAGACCAGGAATTTATTCATGCAAAAATCTCTGAGAAAATTAAGAAATCTGAAGCTGCCCCAATCTGAAGCTGCCCCATTTACCCCTAAATGTTCGAAAATGCTATAAAAACTTTGAAAGTTTTTAGGAAATCATAGAGAAATGTGTGAAAATGGAAGGAAAATGGCGCGAAAATGTGATTTTAGTAGTTTTCCAAACACGTTTAGTAGAAAATATTTTATTCCGACTGAAAAACGGAATATTTAGAACAAATTCCGCATATTCTTTGGGCTTTTTGATGTTTAATTTTATCAAGATTTTTATCCATTCCTGACATTCTCGTTCATTCTTCCCCATTCCTTGATATTCCATGCTGAAGTGATTCGTTCATTATTCAACTTGAATAACAGTTTTTCACACATTTCAGCCTTAGAACCATTACAGAGAGTTATTCCATCAGCATTGAAATGTCAGTAAATTAGTTAACTTATCAATACGAAATGCCTCAAATTTCCCTTTCTAAACACAATTTTAAAGGGAAAAATAGAACTGATCTGGACTAATTAGTCTTTTGACTGTCGATTTAATCTGTTTTTTCCTTCAAAATTGTATGAAAATTGGGTCAAAATCCATTGTCAATAACTGAATTGTTGATAACTTCAAAGCAAATAGAACAAAGGTTAGTTTTATTTGTCGACAAGTGATAAAAAGCGTGAAGTTTTGGGCGTAAAAATGCAAACAATGATAATCTTTCTGATGTATTTGGATAAGATCTGGATAATCTTATCCTATCATTGCATCTGATGTGAAAAGATTCTTAACACTCTCGTGGATCATCCATAGGATCTTTAATAGTTCTTACAAAAATGTTGTTTTCTTGTTTGTCAAACCAAAAGATGCATGAAAATTAGACAATTCCTCAGCAATTGTTTTCCTTCTCTGCTTTTCATATAGAGAATTTTGTTGCAAAGCATGCGCTGATCCTTGAAAAATCTCAAAGAAATCTCTCTTAAATAGTGTTCCTTGGAAGATATCTCTTTATCGTGTGAGAATTTAGCTCACAAAGTGTTCATCAAGTCCACGACGGTGGTGAAAATGGGGAAAATTTGCCCACAGTAAGCGGATAAATTGCTGTAAACTTGAGCAAATTTGTCTCTCAACCGATCTCTCAAGGCCAACTGTGATCGCCAAAATCCTGTGACATTAATGGGAAAATCAGGAAATTTTCTATTATTAGAGTGATTTTCCACTATTTTCCGTGGTTATTTTTTTCAAGGCAGAAATTTTTCTTTTATCTCAAGTGTCTCTTGAAGAGTATGAAAAAAAAACAATAACAGATACGATGACAGCTGATGGAAGCGACGATTTCTCTTATGTTCACCCAGAGAAAACAAGTGCAAAAAGTGGTTTTTGTGGGATCTTTCTACCTGCGCGGAGACCTTTTATTCGCAACTTTGCTGCTTCAAAGCTGTCTACAATTTAAGCAGGACATATAAAGGTGCAAAATACGCAATAGAAAGAAGAGACATTTGAGGAAATGTATAAAAATGCCGCAAAATCTTCTGTTGACAATACTTTTTACTCTTTAACTCACCGTGAAAAGCACCATTTCCATCATTGCGATACTCATTGAGGTAGCACTGTGTGGTGGAGGCCTCCAATTGCCTGGGGGCGCGCATTTTCTGCACAAAAACGCGCCCCCACGGATGTCTGGTGACTTCAGTGACGACAGTTGCTTGTGATGCCAACTGAGATTCCGGGAAGTGTTGTGTCTGACTCTGTGTGCAATCCTCCGTTGGGTTGGTCATCTTTGTGCACCTGAGGGGGGTGGCTCAGCTTCTGGGGTGCTTTTGTGGGCGGCACATAAACAAACCACAAGTGAGAAACACAAACAATTTGCCGGGCATGTGCGACTGTGATGAATTTGACAATTCTCCACTCCTCATGCCTTCTCACCGGACAGCAGCGCCGCCTGGCTGGTCGACGGTGAATTGTGCCACAGAATGACAGTGTCAGAGTGGGAAAAGATGGTGGGGACGGAAAATTGCATGGTGTCTGTAGAAATTGGTGGAAAAAGAGTGGAATTGTCGTGAAAATCTCATTAAAATTGTATATAACAGTGATGTCGAGGAAGCAGGAAGACGTTCTGGACAGCTGGGAGGAGATTGACGAGGCGCAAGTGAGTGAAAATACCCTCAACTGATTGGATGAATGGGTGAGAGTTGACCACGCGATGGGGGCGCGCCTGGTGGCTCGTTGGCGAGTGACAGGCGTGTGAAACCTGTCAACGTGTGTGAATGGCTCTCCCGGAATGGCCAAGAAGAAGAAGAGCGGGAATTTCACGCGGGAATTGTTGTGTTGCAGCTCACGGCGAAGATCAACAAGATGCGTGAGCACAGTTCCAAGGACAAGAACAGCCGGAAGATGACGATACTCGCCGTTGAGGATGATCCGCGGAGTCACTTTGGGCAGTTTGGACCGTCAGAGCCGACACTGAAGATCCTGAAGAGGCCACAGGATGGTGGCGGAACGGCGGGTGGTGATGTGAAGCCCAAGGCGCCGGTGAAGAGTCTCCAGCAGCGCGAGCAGGAGTACGCGGAGGCGAGATTGCGGATTCTGGGTTGTGCCAAGAGTCCGGAGGATGAACAAAAGTATTTGTCCTTGTCTCTCCACCAGCGGGGAAAGGAGATTTGTGCATGTGCGATGATGACTGATTGGGGAATTGTCCTTGCAGCAACACTGTGATGAGGCGCGGCAGCGAGGGCGGCGGCGGCGGCGGCGGCTCCACGAGTCGCCAGGCGGCCACAAAGACACCCGATGGACTGATTCGCCTGCCGCGCGGCCCCGACGGCACGTGTGGCTTCACGCTGAGGCGGTAGCGGCGCCGCGGCGGCAGAGTTTCCGGGTCGGCCGCGCGAGTCTGTGTGTGCATTTGGTTGGCGAGATTGTGAAAATTGTACAATATACACATAATTCTCTTTATTTTTTATTCGGTAATAAAACACAAAAAGTATTATAAGGACGAAGAATCTTATCAATTGCAACGCACACTTTTGTTCTGTGTGTGTGTGTGTGATTTTGTCTGGGATTGGAATCCGTGGCCAACTAGATTGCCTGATCGATTTGTTATTCTTTGAATGGAAATTGTTGAAAACGTTTTGGACAATTTTCTTATCGACGGGTGAATAGAAAACTGTGAAAAGACGATTTTTCATACTTTTCATCTTGTGTATTTTTGAAAAGTTTTTTTTTATTTGTTTATGCAAAAGAGATTTTGAGATTTTTATCTTATGAGACAATTGTAAAAAATCTTATTTATCCCATAAAACACAAATGGATGAAAATTAGAAAGAGTTTTCTAAGAAAAATGTCTCAAAAATTGCAGTTCAACGCATAAAATGCTTTTTCAGAAAATAATTTTAGATTTTTACGATTTTCAGAATTATTCTAAAATGTTTTTTAGACTTTTAATGAATATTTCTCCTATCTTTTAAATTTTTTCACTTGAAAACCTTAAAGAAAACTTCAATTTAAGTATGAAAAGTTGATTTTTTGGAACTTGTGTGGATAAAATCGTCTTTGGAAAGTAATATTATCAGATTTTCTATTAATTTTGTCACATTTTAGTCAAAAATTTCAATAAATACCAATAAAATTAATTGAAATATTTACAAAATCATAAATTCAGAGCAATATTTCTATTTTAACGGACAATTTGAAGGCGTTTTAAAGTAAATTTGGCAAATTTCCAAGGGTTGCTCAAGTGAGGAATGAAGGAATAATTTCAGCAGGAATATTTAAGAATATTCAGGAATGTGTGGAAATAATAGTGAAAATCACTTGGAATACACAGAATGTGTGATGGAAAATTAAATCATTTACATTTTCGCTCTTAGAATAAATAGAATATATGAGAATAGATTTATTATTCGCTCATAAGAATGCGTTTTGTGAGTGAATTAAATTCATTTGCTTCACAAATGACATTTTGCTGAGTTTGTCATGAAAAATTATTTACTGGAAGGCATTTAAATTCCCCAAAATTAACCATTTTAGTTGATTTGTGACGTGAAAAAAGATTAAAACAGGAAAATCTGTGAAAAAAAACTTGCCACGATCTGGAATCGAACTTATAAACGAAAGATTGCGAAGTAAAATGACGCGAATATGCAAAATTAGCAGCTTTCTAAACAAGTTTTAAGAAAAATTACATTTTAGGCTTGAAAAAAGAGTTCTTAGAAGAAGTTTCAGGCCTGATAAATAGCATTTTAGGTGAAAATACTTTATTTCTCTGATAAAAAAGCAATTTTCGAAATAATATTTAGTTTTTCAAAGACTTGTAGGTGAAAATTGAGGGAAAAATGCTGATAAAGTGAAGGAAATACTCAAAAAAAAGGAGAAATGAAAAAAAAACATTGTGAAAAAATCGAATTTGTAGGAAAATCGAACCCGCGACTTCATGATTCTAAAATTCGGCGTTCTTCTTATGTTAAATTCTCTTATGTGGAAAATTTGCGCAAATCTTTCTGTCTAAAACGATTTAAAAAAAAAAACATAATTACAAATTAAGAATTGAGCAAGGGTTGCTCAAGTGGGAGAAAAGTGGTTTCCATTCTTCAAATTTCCATAATATCCATTTCCATTCCTTTCCATTCGATCTATTCCAATCCCTTCCAATCCATTCTTCGGAATATTCTTTCCCTTTAAGACTTCTTTGAAATTGTATGTATGCGAAATCGTCTTAGAGAGAAAGATTTTTGCACAAATTCCAGCAAAAATCTTCCACATTAGAGAATTTAGGAGAAGATTTTAAAGTGTCGCGCGTTCGATTCTCCTTCAATTCGTTTTTTTCGCTACTTTTCTTGCCTTTTTCGAGCATTTTCCTTCATTTTATAGCGTTTTATCAGCAATTTTTCCCTCAATTTCTTCAAGAATTATCTCTAATAACCTCAATTTGATGGCCGGAATTGCTTTTCTTTCACTAAATTCTTACTCCTAAATTCTTTTTACACGCTTTAATCTTTATTTGGGGGCTTGGAAATTATTCTAAATGTTTGAAAATGCTATAAAAACTTTGAAAGTTTTTTAGGAAAGCATAGAGAAATGTGTAAAAATGGAAGGAAAATGGCGCGAAAATGCGATTTTAGTACAAAATCTCTTATTCTGACAGGAAAACGGAATATTTACAACATATTCTGCGTATTCCTTCAGTTTTTTTTGATGTTTTATTCTGTCAAGAATTTTATTCATTCCTTCCCATTCCTTGATATTCCTGCTGAAGTGTGGTTCGTCCATTCTTCAACTTGAGCAACCCTCGGAATTCAGGGAATGTTTAAGAATTATTTCGAAGAATATTCCATGGAATGGAATGGAATGGAAACTCCTTTTTCTCCAACTTCAGCAACCCTTGGCTCTTCGGCGTATTCTAGTGAATGTTGATGTAATGTTGGCGCTCTTCTGCCCTCTTGCAGGCCGAGTATCGCGTGCTGATCGGGAACCGCGAGTGGATGCACCGCAACGCCGTGCACGTGCCGCCGGAGGTGGCGGCGAAGATGACGGAGGAGGAGTCCATGGGACACACGGCCGTGCTGTGCGCCGTGAACGAGCAGCTGCTGGCCATGGTGTCCGTGTCGGACATGGTGAAGCCCGAGGCGCACTTGGCCGTGTTCACGCTGCGCCGCATGGGCGTCGACGTGATCCTGCTGACGGGCGACAACAAGAACACGGCGGCCAGCATTGCGCGCCAGGTGGGCATCCACAGGGTGTTCTCGGAGGTGCTGCCGTCGCACAAGGTGGCCAAGATTCAGCGTCTGCAGGAGAGTGGCGCGCGCGTGGCGATGGTGGGCGATGGCGTGAACGACAGTCCGGCACTGGCGCAGGCGGACGTGGGCATTGCCATTGCGGCGGGCACAGATGTGGCGGCGGAGGCGGCGGATGTCGTGCTGATGCGCAACGATCTGCTGGACGTCGTGGCGTGCTTGGATCTGTCGCGGCGCACCGTGAAGCGCATCCGGCTGAACTTCCTCTTCGCCAGCATGTATAATTTGCTGGGCATCCCACTCGCCGCCGGCGTCTTCAGCCCCTTCGGCTTCATCCTGCAGCCCTGGATGGCGTCCGCCGCCATGGCCGCCAGCTCGGTGTCCGTCGTGTGCTCGTCGCTGCTGCTCAAACTGTGAGTTTCACTGCATTTCACACTCAAGATTTCACTCCATTTGCCATTTCAGAGAAAGAGACAGAATCTTTTTGGTGGAAAAGCACCGGAAAGACATGAAAATGATGAACGAATTTCATGTCCTTTGCTTTTATCCTTCAGATCGCAATATTTTAAGGAAATTATGTCAATCTTAACCGACAAGATGCTCAAATTGAACCCAATTCCCATTCAAACTGTTTGTGTTATATGTTCAAATATCTGAACTGATTCTCACTAAAACTGATGAATGTTAATGTTGAAAATAAATAAGGGAAAATTGCTCTTTCTATTCACACTAAAACAGTGTTGGAGTTTTAAACGATTTCACAATGTGGAAGAGAGGAACAGTTGTCCAGAATTTTAAAAACTCAAGCAAATAATTAGTAAATCCATGATAAAAAGTGAATTTATTGCAGATTTATTCGTTTTTGCAAGATATTTGAAGATTCTTGCAGATCTGTCAAATTGCTTTTGACACATTCATTCAAAATCACACATTCTGACGCTTTAAATTGATCTTAAACGTATGAATCTTCAAAAGTCCTTCCTTTAACATAGTTTTATATAATAACAGGCCTTAATAATAGCAAATTATTGAATTACTATTTAATTTTCACATTTGAACATCTCAGAAAACTTAAATTGGTTCGTTTAATCACTCTTCTGTCGCTTTTGACATTTTTAAAACTGTCTCAAGAGATTGTTTTTCATTAAGACACAATTTGACGGAACAATTTGTGACACAAAAGTCATTTTGACATAACATGTTTAGGCCAAAAAATCAAGCGAATGTTTAAAATCACTCAAAATGCATCAGAAAACATCAATTTGGACTAAATTGTACTGATTTGAGCGAAAAAACTGTATCTTGTTCATCTTTGTCAGTGAAGAATTGGCAAAAAAAGCTGAAAAATCGTAAAATTCATAAAATGTTAAATTTTTTCCAAGATCTTGAAAACCTTTTCGTCTAAAACATTCAAAAATGTATAGAAAAAGAGATGAACTTGACAAAGAAGAAATAATAGCAAATTATTGAAGTAATTTTTCGCATTTAAACTTTAAAATCAGACACGAAACCTTAAAAAATTGATTCGTCTTTAAAAACTGCTTCAAGAAATTGTATTTAACACACTTTTGATGAAACAATTTGAGACGAAAATGTCATTTTATCCTAGAAAGTAAAACGAGTGTTAAAAATCGCTTAACACATCTCTTAACATTAAATGTGTGACTAAGAATTGCTTCGTTTTACGCTAACACACTCTGATGGTGCAATTTTTCAGCTTTTTCATGTCTTTTTGACCTCAAAAGTCTTAATTGGCACTCAAATGGACAGTTTAATGTTAAGAATCAACACCAAATTGGTGTCTGATGGTGAATTCTTGCTCGCGCTCTTTTCAACAGGTACAAAAAGCCTTCTTTGGCGTCACTGCGAACGCCTGAATATCTTCAGCTGATCGACGCCGGCGCACATCTTGATCCGGACGCCGTGTCAGTTCATCGTGGCCTCGAGGACATTCCGCGGCCGGACTTTGGTAGATCAAATAGCTCCACTTTGTCCAGGTAATGCGTCAATGTGTGCCTCATTTTCTCTCTTTCTCTGTCTCTCTCTCTCTTGCACCCTAAAAGCAATTACAGACTAGCGGATTATCCACGGGAGGTTAAGCGAGAGCGCGAGTGTGTTCGACTGAAGGTTCGCTTAGCCATAAAATGCGAATAATCCTAGGGGTACGCAAGCTCGGAATATGGACACGTTTGGCCAGGAATATTGTAGGAATATCGGAATATTTTAGGAATATTTTGGAATATTTTCAATATACTCAGGAATAAAATAATGAGGAATATTTGTATAAAACACAAGAATATATTCCTGTGTAACTTTGTAACTTCCAAATAACTTTTAAAGTTATTATTGCATTTTCATTGCCCTTAAAACTGTTCAGAATTTAACGTCTGTTTCACAAATATCAATTGGGTAAATTTTAGTCTGCAAATACGTGAAAAAGGAAGGAAAAGAACGCAAAAATAGATATTAGTTGCTTCCCAAATGAAAATGGTAAAAAAAACAAGGTAGAAAATGACATTTGAGTCTTTAAAAAGTGTTCTTTGGGGAAGTTTCAAGCCCAAGGATGAACATTAAAGTGTTAACAATAATGTTAGGGTATAAACTTAGAGAGTGAGAAAGGTAATTCAGAGCCTCAGATGGAGTATTAGAAACAATTCTTGAAGAGGAAATTATATTGAGTGTTTTGAAGGGGATTTTAAGCGAATACTGAGGGAAAAATGCTAATATAAAGCGATAAAATGAAGGAAAATACACGAAAAAGGAAATAGAATGGTAACAGTATTGTGAAAAAAGGCGGCCAGTGGAAGGATTGAACCCAAGACCTCACGATCTAGAAGCCAGCTCTCTACCACTATGCTATCGCTCCTATACGGATGTTTCAATTGGATCTTGTTCATGCCTTTTCCACGTGGGTGGCTTCTCGCGCCATCTGGACGTGTTCGAATGAAATTAAAGCAAGTTCGAAACATTTATTCCTGAATATTCCAAAATATTCCTCCTTTTAGGAATATTTAGGAATATTTAGGAATATTGGAATATTTGAGGAATATCAGGAATAGAATATTGTAGGAATATTTGGAATATTTGAGGAATATTGGAATACGGCCACGTTTAAAATCAGCTGGGGTACCCCTAGGAATAATCCCTCGATATATCGAAGATTCAACCGATATTTATGGGGTTCTCGACGACAGCGCGCTCGTGCGGAAATGCGCCGAAACTTTGCACGACTTAGGAAAGGCGCAAAATGGCGGATCTCTTGCGAATTGATTTCCTGGATTATTAAAATCACATTAAATTCTTCTGCGAATCATCAATTTGCGCAATTTTAACGTGAAATTTCACGCTTTTGAAGTCCTCAAATCAACTGACAGCTGAACACACCAAACACAGTGGCGCTAGTGTCGACAAAGAAGAATAACTGAGTGTGTTTAGCGCCAGTTTAACCATGAATTGTGGTAGATTAACCACGATTTATCGCTGATTTGGGCCTTTCTCACACTAAAGGTTCATCCACGGAGGATTGATCCCCAATTCGTGTCGATTCGTGGATCATCAGCAAGTCTGTAATCGCTTTAAGCATCCACTTTTCGCACCCTTTTCAGTTCTTTGATTTCTGCTTCTCACTCTCATTTGCAGCTTCCTTAGAACGCCAGCACGGTAGAAACTCCTCAATTCCTCCCCTGAACTCACACTCTTTTGCATGTCTTGTTGAGGGATTCTGAGCTCATCGTCGTGCTCTCTAGTCTTCTCGCCGCGCTGCTCCACTCTTTTCAACTGTTTAAGTTAACCAAAAAGAAAATCCCACTCTTGACTGTGATTTGAGGCGCGACACGAGCTCACAATTCTCTCGGGATGGATAGAAAAAGAGGAGGCGGAAAAAGTGTAGAAAAAAAGGGATTTTGTGTGTTTTTTTCAGTAGTGTTAATTATTATTATTAAATGCTGTGGAAGGAAGTACTTTGATTGTCTTTTGGGTGAAAAGAGTTTCGCGTCAAATTGATAAGATTTGACGTACAATCGCGACTCCTTCATTTGACAAGAATTTGATAAAGCGCATCGCAATTCATTGACTCAACGAGTTTGAAGATTGATTTGTTGATTGAGAAGAAGAAGAAGAGGAAAAAAGCATGAAGAATTCACGTCATGGAATCTTTATTGCGGTTTCTTTCTTGGTGTCTTTTTATCAACTCTATCACGTCGTGTTTTAGTGTCTAAGGTGTAAAATAAGCCTCATTGTTAGGTGTAGAAATTTAGTTGAAAAGTCAATAATATCAATTTAATAGTAAAACTTTTTGTTTGGAAAAGTCAAGGGGGAGATAATATGCCTTAAATCTGTAAAACACTTCCAAGCACTTCCAAACACTTCCAAATTTCCCTGACACTTCTAGAGAACATGAAATTTGTAGTCTTTTTCATATTAACCCTCAAATTATAATGAATTTCTTAAGTTTCCTTTCGATATTTCTATAAGAATCGACTTAAAACCGCTGTTTTTAGACATTTTTCCGAGCATAACCTCAAAAATATCATTAAAAGATCTTCAAAAACTCTATTTGGAAGCTTTCCAGATCACAAAATCATCTGTTATAGTTTACAAATGAACTAAGAAATGCTGATTCATAGTCAAAATTGTCCAAAAAGCTTTTTAAATTACAATTTTTGAGGTTATGTACGATTTTAGCACAATTTGATGTCTTTCTTGGCATGAAATGAGTCTAATTCAATGGGAAGATTATGTTGTGATGAGTTTTCATCCGATATTATTGTAAAAATTCACTTAAAACCGCTTTTTTGAGGTGTCTTTTCCGACCATAACCTCAAAATGTCACTTAGAGATCTTCAAAATTTCCCAATGATGTTAAAAATTACTGATTCACAGTCAAAATTGTTGAGAATGTTGTCTAAATTGACATTTTCCAAGTCTAAATGACTCTTTTTGAGGTTATGTTCAATCTTAGCACAATTTGTCAGTGTTTCTTGACATCAAAAGATCAAAAAAGCACAGAAAAAATGTCCTTTTTCGTCATATTAAGACTCCCTGAGGCTATTTTAGTTGATTTTTTACGTGATTACACACGGAGAAAAGAGGGGAAATACGTTATAATATCCATAACGTCAGTCGTAATAATCAAGCCAACTACGCGTTATAAATTTCCGTAGTTAATATCATAACGTGGCTTTTGGCCGAGCTTTCAACTACGCGTTATAAATACCACAACGCGTAATGGATAAATGTTATATCAAAGCGTCAGAATAAGCTTTTCCAGCCGCAGAAAATCAACTACGCGTTATAAATACGATTACGCGTTTTAAAATATGAAAGTAAAGTAATTATTTACTATGCGCAATGGCGTTGTAAATGTCATAACGTGATTTTTCCGCGATAAAGAATGAAACGTAATAAATGGCATAACGCGTAATGGAATTTATAACGCGTAGTTGATTTTTCTGAATCGAAGCTTTGAATTATGTCTTTAAACCGCCCGTTGTAATATGCATAACGAGCGTAGTTGATTGTCTTTGGTCTGAAAAGAATTACGGTATAAAAATGTTATGATATTAACCACGAGCGTAGTTGATTTCATGATATTTGGTTGCCTACAACGTTATAATGCACCCATTGTAGTATTCAACTACGAGCGTAGTTGATTTCTCACAAATTTATTACGTTTTCGCGAAGCTTTTGAACGCCGTAGTTGATTTTTCGTAAACTTCGTAACATTTATAATGTATTACGGCGTTATCACGACGTAGTTAATTGCGCAATCATAAGATATTTTTCGCTGAGTGTACAGATATAACATTTTGTGGGATATTTTCAACACAAAGAAGTGATCAAAAGTAGAGTTTTTAACACCAGATCATCATTAACTAATAATTAATTGACACATCATGGAAAATATCCTTCTTCCTCACAAACTGCATGATGGTTTTTTCGGACTGATTTTTCCACATCCACTTTGCACGCTTCTTTTCCAACCACTCTCTGCACGTTTATCGGGTAAAATATGCATGAAACACAGCCGCGAAGGAGTGGACAAAAGGCGCCGTGAAGCTAATGTTGGTTGTCTTGACTCTGCAGGATCTTCGGACGTGGCAAGAGTTCTTCTGAGCCGCGACTGCTGGGCGAAGACGACGAGATGCGCATCGAAGTGGTGCGCTCGGGCAAGAGCAGAAGCTACAGAGACTGCACGGAGATGCAGAAGTTGTGAGGAGTGACGAATGAATCTTGTGATAAACTGAGACGACTAAACACAGACTCCTTTCCAGCCTTCTTATGCCGCAAAGACAGTACTTAGGATTTTTTTTTTCTAATCATTTACTCTCTTGTACAACCAGTGAAATAATAATAAAAAAAAATCTATTGAGAGCTTTGAAGAATGCGTGTTGTGAGACTTTTCTTTTCTTTTCTCGGCAGTTTTCAAAAGGATCTTGTGAAGAATCTGAATGAAGTTTTAGAGAGCTTTGATTGGACTTTTTTTTCTCTCTCCTTTTCCAACGCTTCATTAAGCGTTTAACATCAATTGTGCTAAATTTAAAAATCAAGGAATGTTAATATCGACGGGTGAATCGAAGACTATTAAAAGTCGTTTTTTGAAAGTTGACGTATTATATCTGTTTGGATTGATCTTAAAAATATTCCATTGAGTTCAGATCGGCAAAAAAATAAAGAAATTCGATTTTTCTTAAAAACCCTCGCGTGTAGAAAATTTCTCAATGTTGCGTTGAAAAGTATGAAAAGTCGACTTTTGATAGTTTACGCCCAAGGGGCTAATCACTAGCGCAAATTGAGACCACTAACTTTGTGATTTTTCAATCTTTTTCCTCGATTATTTCGTGATTTAAAGTCAAATTTTGATTATTTTTTGATTATTTTTTTGAATATTTCTCTATTATTTCCTGATTATTTCATTAAAAATTAATTATTTTATACAAATTTTGATTATTTCGTACAAGATTCGGATTATTTTATGATTATTTTCTCAATATTTTATAAGAATTTGATTATTTTTTGATTTTTTTTTAAATTATTTTCTGAATAAATGTAATCAAATTTTGAATATAATTGAATAATTGTGAATATTCGGGAATATTCTGAATTCATTGATAATTATTGATTGAAAAAAAAAATCTTTTTTTTTATTTCATTTAAAATTTGATTATTTTTCAATTTTACTTTGGAAAATATTTATTTTTTTAAATTATTTAATTCAGAATTTGATTACTGAGATTTTTTGTGATTATTTTATTCAAAATATGATTATTTTTTAAAAATTTTCTTGGGAAAATATTCATTTTTTTTAATTTTTTTCATTCAATATTTGGTTATTTAGATTTTTTGTCATTTTATTTGAGAAAATAAATTTTTTTTCAATTATTTTTCAATTTTTGTTTGAGAAAATATTCATTTATTTGTCTATTTTTTTTTTTCAGTATTTGATAATATTTTGATTTTTTTTTGTGATTTAACTCGGGAAAATAATCTTTTTTTATTATTTAAATCATAATTTGATTATTTTTTCAATTTTACTTGGAAAAATAATGGGCAGGAAAAATATAAAAAGTTGATTTTTACGAATTGTTTGGAAAAAAGTACACAAAAATGATCAAAAACCGATTTTTTGTAGCAAATTTTCCCAATTTGTCTATTAATTCTTCGTATTTTAGTTAATATTTCAACAAATCAAGTCTTCACGGCACCCGTCGATATATTCAATCATGTAAAAATTCTAAAAAACACATTGTTGTATTCTCATTAAAAGTGTTCAGGAGAACTTAAAGTGATCTCCCTAGTCATGGTGTGCTCGCTCTCCCTATCGCAAAAGTCGCACGCGACGTGACGGAAGATCATACGCGATCACGAGCGCAACATCGCATGCAACTGATTTTGGCGCAATGCGGATTTGGGCAAGTATTTGTCATGAACAGCTGATGACTCCCAAGTTCAAGATCAAGGTCACCAGCTCTCGTCAGTGGGCCATCTTCAGTGCATCTGCACTTGTGCGACAATCTTTGGGCAGCTGAAGAGGCCAATTTTTATATCGTGCAATTTCTAGTCTTTGTTCGTCTTGTGAAGTTTTCGCGTAAGTTGAGTTAAGTTAATGAATAAGTGTAGACTTTAGGTGAGGAAGAGGCTGTGCAGGAGATAGTGCTAAGATTGTATGCAGTGTAAAATACATTTAAGGAGCTTTAAGGGGAGCTGAAGTGTGGTTTTTAGTGAGTGGCGAGGAGCTGAGGACGCCGTGGTTCGCGCCAATTCTACCGAGGAAATACAGAGTGGAAGTTTTCTTAGCGTTCTGCGGGCCAGAAGAAGGATTTTTTTGAATTCTTCTCGCCAGATACGCTAACAGGACAATATTCCATCTCTCCCACAGGTGTGTAATTGTTGGCTGGTCATTGTGGAGGAGTTTCGCGTGCTGTTTGCTCTGCCACTGAACTAAAAGGAATTCCCTTCTCATTTTAAAGGTAGAAGAGTCTCTCAAGACACTGGAGAAGTGCTGAAGGGGCAAATAAGTAACCATTCCTTCTCATTATTCAAGGTTGGTGCCCACAAAAAGCAATGTTAGAGTGTTTTAAATGAAATATGCTGGAATTCTTAAAACACTAGTTATTAATTAGAAAATTATTGATAAAAAAAAATTAACTGCAAATATTGCAATTGAAAATTAAAGCCATACAATCACTGATTGATCCGTTTTTTTTTGCAACTTTTGATCCATCGTGCTGTTTTTTTTTACACATTCCTTAAAACAAACTCAGCAACACTAAAAAGATCACACTAAAATTGTCCTGTTTTATGAAGAAGAAAAAAAATACCCAAATCCTTGAATAAATATTGAAATTTGTTATGAATTTTGTGCAGAGAAATTGAACTCCTGAAATTAAAAACGTTAAAAAAAAATCATTTAATACATTGCGACGGGTGCCTTGAAAACGATGAAAAGCCTAAAACGCAATTTTTCAGCAAAGCGTTTTCAAGATTTTCGCTTCAATATTGCTGCAAAATTTGCCAAATTTATCTTAAAAAACGCCTTCAAAGCGTCCGTAAAAGTGCAAATATTGCTCTGAATTTATGATTTTGTTAATATTTTAGTTGATTTTATTGGTATTTATTGGAATTTTTGACTAAAATATGTCAAAATTAATAGAAAATCTGAAAATTTTTATTTTTCAAAGTCAATTTTATCGAAAATAGTACTAAAAAATCAGTTTTTCATACTTGATTTGAACTTTTCCTTAATGTTTTCTAGTGAAAAAATTTAAAAGATATGAGAAATATTTATTTAAAGTCTTGAAAAACATTTTAGAATAATTCTGAAAATTTACAAATATTTTCTAAAAAGACGTTTTATGTGTTTGTCTTCAATTTTTGAGACATTTTTCTTATGGAAAAATTCTTCAGCGTAAACAATGAAAAATCGACTTTTCATTCGAATGAAACTTGACAAACTTGAAAGAACAAATAGGGGTAAATGGGGCAGCTTCAGATTGGGGCAGCTTCAGATTTCTTAATTTTCTCAGAGATTTTTACATGAATAAATTCCTGGTCTTCACACAATGTTTGTAGTCCTTAAGGACTACAATTGACGAAAATTTGCACAGGATTGCCTTGACTGTTTAGATAAAATAAGTGAAAATTGAAAATCACTCACAAACTAGAATTTTGCTGCCGAATTGATTGCGTGTTTTCTCCATTAAAAAAGCCACAATTCGCGTGAAACACAATCAAAGGTTATTGAGAGTTAAGTAGAGATTCTAAATGTGCCCGAACTTTTCCTCCTTGGCACGGCCTTTTCAGTGGGTGGTGGAAAATGCACAAACACTGCCCACGGGGCAGTTTCGGATCGCCACGGACTGACAACAGCGCGCTCTGACAGTCTGACGCAACATCACGGTCGAAATTTTCTTGTGGCAAATATTGAAGATTTTTCACAAAGTGCCGTTCTGTGCTGCATTGCTTCATCACGTTAAACGACTTCTTAGTGGAAAAGTGAGAAAATACACGCGAAAATCAATCATCAATCGCGAAACATTTTGCGCGGAACTTTCGCGGCGCGTCAAGTTGCCACCACTCACGCATGGTGGCGTTGCGATACAGGAAAAATGACGGGCAACTTGCTTTTCGCTCAGAAATTTTGACAGTCCGTGCAAGGGTCCAGAAAAGTCGCGAAAATATTACTTTAAAGGCGATTTTTAGCGAAATAAACAGTTTCAGTGCGTAGAATAGATATCAAAGTGATCATTTGCCCGCGATTCTACAATTCCACAATGGAATTTATGGTAAATATCAGTGAAAATCTGAAGCTGCCCCAGAGCAATCCGAAACATCCCCGTGCGGGGCAGTTTCAGATAATTTACAATATTATTTTCATTCTCCTTTAGAGGAAAAAGGATCAGTTTTAATGCCCAATGAAAGGCATTTTCTGAAGCTCAATAGACGAGAGTTTATTTGAGCGTTGTGATCATTTCAATATATTTAGTCGATTTTTCAAGAAAAAATCCTAAAGTTGGAACAGCATTTTGAATCTGAAGCTGCCCCACTTACCCCTAAAACGCTTTTCAAAAATAACATTTGACGAAAACTATGATAAATCGACTTTTCATAGTTTTCCATTCAACCGTCGATTGTGTAAAAGCATAATTACAAAATCTCTTTTTAACGCAAGTGTTTGAACTTGGTGATATCTTTTAGCATAATTGTCATTTTAAGTGTATTGATTGAGAATTGCAAAGACTGTTTTTGAATTTCCCAATTTTAATGCGAATTGATCCATTAAGTTAATTACCTATGCTAAAATCGTTTAGTTAAAATTTCCAGCAATTTCTCACTAAAATTTATCTGAGTAAGAAAACAGAAAGTTTCAAAAAATATTTCCATTTTTTTTTTAAATTAATTAATTGTTGATTTTTATATCATTTTCTTGATTTTGTGTGTTATTCACAAAGTATTAGGATTTTTAAGTGGTGGATTTTCGCGAAGATATCTCGAATCTTACCTTTTAAAAGTGTGTCAAAATCATCTCTCAATCAGCGGAAATCTGTGTTTTTCCATCATCAAGAAAACGAAGTGAAAATTTTCATATTAAATTTTTATTCTTTTTTTCCTTACAGCATAAAATTGTGGGGTCGTTTTCTGTCGTTTTACACATCCTTCAATGATTTTCTCTAATATATCCACACCTGTTTTCCACACATCCTTCCTTCCTTCCGCTCCTCCTTTTTTGAGTCCTGCTCGCAATTCGAAAATAGCAATTTCTCTCCCGCCGATTCGCAACTTTTTTTTCGCCACACTTTTGCGAAAAACACACTTTTTGTGTGCAGGAATTTTCTCTTTTGCTCCGCAGCGTTTTTTCTGTATAGGGGTAGGGGTAAATGGGGCAGCTTCAGATTGGGGCAGCTTCAGATTTCTTAATTTTCTCAGAGATTTTTGCATGAATAAATTCCTGGTTTTCACACAATGTTTGTAGTCCTTAAGGACTACAATTGACGAAAATTTGCACAGGATTGCCTTGACTGTTTAGATAAAATAAGTGAAAATTGAAAATCACTCACAAACTAGAATTTTGCTGCCGAATTGATTGCGTGTTTTCTCCATTAAAAAAGCCACAATTCGCGTGAAACACAATCAAAGGTTATTGAGAGTTAAGTAGAGATTCTAAATGTGCCCGAACTTTTCCTCCTTGGCACGGCCTTTTCAGTGGGTGGTGGAAAATGCACAAACACTGCACACGGGGCAGTTTCGGATCGCCACGGACTGACAACAGCGCGCTCTGACAGTCTGACGCAACATCACGGTCGAAATTTTCTTGTGGCAAATATTGAAGATTTTTCACAAAGTGCCGTTCTGTGCTGCATTGCTTCATCACGTTAAACGACTTCTTAGTGGAAAAGTGAGAAAATACACGCGAAAAACACTGATTTGCACTGATTTGATTTGTGGTGGCACTGAAGTTGCCACCACTCACGCATGGTGGCGTTGCGATACAGGAAAAATGACGGGCAACTTGCTTTTCGCTCAGACATTTTGACAGTGCGTGCAAGGGTCCAGAAAAGTCGCGAAAATATTACTTTAAAGGCGATTTTTAGGGAATCAAACAGTTTCAGTGCGTAGATTAGAAACCAAAGTGATCATTTGTCCGCGATTCGACAATTCCACAATGGAATTTATGGTAAATATCAGTGAAAATCTGAAGCTGCCCCAGAGCAATCCGAAACATCCCCGTGCGGGGCAGTTTCAGATAAATTACAATATTATTTTCATTCTCCTTTAGAGGAAAAAGGATCAGTTTTAATGCCCAATGAAAGGCATTTTCTGAAGCTCAATAGACGAGAGTTTATTTGAGCGTTGTGATTATTTCAATATATTCAGCCGATTTTTCAAGAAAAAATCCTAAAGTTGGAACAGCATTTTGAATCTGAAGCTGCCCCACTTACCCCTAAGTGGGGCAGCTTCAGATTCAAAATGCTGTTCCAACTTTAGGATTTTTTCTTGAAAAATCGGCTGAATATATTGAAATAATCACAACGCTCAAATAAACTCTCGTCTATTGAGCTTCAGAAAATGCCTTTCATTGGGCATTAAAACTGATCCTTTTTCCTCTAAAGGAGAATGAAAATAATATTGTAATTAATCTGAAACTGCCCCGCACGGGGATGTTTCGGATTGCTCTGGGGCAGCTTCAGATTTTCACTGATATTTACCATAAATTCCATTGTGGAATTGTCGAATCGCGGACAAATGATCACTTTGGTTTCTAATCTACGCACTGAAACTGTTTAATTCCCTAAAAATCGCCTTTAAAGTAATATTTTCGCGACTTTTCTGGACCCTTGCACGCACTGTCAAAATGTCTGAGCGAAAAGCAAGTTGCCCGTCATTTTTCCTGTATCGCAACGCCACCATGCGTGAGTGGTGGCAACTTCAGTGCCACCACAAATCAAATCAGTGCAAATCAGTGTTTTTCGCGTGTATTTTCTCACTTTTCCACTAAGAAGTCGTTTAACGTGATGAAGCAATGCAGCACAGAACGGCACTTTGTGAAAAATCTTCAATATTTGCCACAAGAAAATTTCGACCGTGATGTTGCGTCAGACTGTCAGAGCGCGCTGTTGTCAGTCCGTGGCGATCCGAAACTGCCCCGTGTGCAGTGTTTGTGCATTTTCCACCACCCACTGAAAAGGCCGTGCCAAGGAGGAAAAGTTCGGGCATATTTAGAATCTCTACTTAACTCTCAATAACCTTTGATTGTGTTTCACGCGAATTGTGGCTTTTTTAATGGAGAAAACACGCAATCAATTCGGCAGCAAAATTCTAGTTTGTGAGTGATTTTCAATTTTCACTTATTTTATCTAAACAGTCAAGGCAATCCTGTGCAAATTTTCGTCAATTGTAGTCCTTAAGGACTACAAACATTGTGTGAAAACCAGGAATTTATTCATGCAAAAATCTCTGAGAAAATTAAGAAATCTGAAGCTGCCCCAATCTGAAGCTGCCCCATTTACCCCTATATCAAATAAATCTTAGACAAATTACTCTCTCTCTCTCTCTTTCTCTCATTTCGCCTTAAGATATGATTCCTTCTTCTTCATCTTCTTTGCGTCTAATTTTCAATTGACGTCGCAGATATTTTTTATTTCTTCCATCAATCTTTCTTTTTTTTGCTTTGTTCCATTCTTCAAATAACCTGTAATACATTTAAGTAAATATTTCTTCACTATTTTCTCCTCCTTTTTTTTTTAGTTTTCTTATTGGTAAAAGTTAATAATTATATAGAATAGCATTATTTTTCACCGTCAATCTTTCTTTTTCTTCTTCTTTACAATTCTTGCGCGCCCTTCAGAAATGGATTTTTTGTGGGCTTTTTTTTCTTCTTTTTCTTTCCTCAGTGTTTGTTTGTTTTTTTCTTTTTACTCTTTTCTTGCCACCCACAAAAAGCAAAGACAAAATCTCGCTCTTCATTCACTTTTTTTTTTAATACTTCTTTTGCTTCATTACACTTGGCAACAAAAATCATACTTTTTTATGCTCTTTTTTGAAGTGTGGATTTCTCTGATTCCTTGAATCTTTGAGCTCTTTTTCCCTTAAATCCTCAAGATCGTCCTTTTCGAGCCTATTTTCCCCTATTTTCTCCCACTTTTCTGCACTTTTGTGCTCAAATCTCGCCCAATTTCCAACGGATTTCCCCCAAATTAGACTCAAATGACAGATATTGAAATTATTTACTACTTTGTCAAGCATTGTGGGTATTTTAGAGCACTTCTTGTTGGTCAAAAAGGATCTTTTGTAAACCATTAGGTAAAAAAATCGTCGGTTTTTGACCACATTTTCTCAAATATCTCCGAAACGAAAGAACTTTTATGTTGGATTATTTTTCCTGTGTTTAGAGAACTTCAGGGGATGAATTTCCTTCATACATGCCAAAGTGATATTTCTTTTCCATCTGCTGGAAAAGCAAGGTTTTCTGTGACAATTTTCGCTTTCTCATGCTGCAGAGCATAAGCTGCGCGCTCCCGCCAAAAATATTGAACATAAAGAAGGACATTTTGCTATCTACACACTCATTTAGATAATGATAATGCTTTGATGTTAAAAGAATAGAGAAAAAAGGCCAATATCTCGACTTTTTAGCTATTTTACGTGATTTTTTTGGTCTTAATGACAAAGAGATGAAACATTTGGAGGTAAATCCTATTCAGCCTTTTGAGTTCATCTTGCTAATTGAAGCTTCAAGAGGTCGCTTTATCTCGGGTTTAGATGCAGGCTTGTGCCACGGTGGTGGAGAGTTGGATGCTGAAGTGGAGGATAAAGGTCAACGCGCTGAAGTCTTCCCCGAGTCACCTTTTCAACAAAAAAAGGGCGTTTGCCCACCGGTGAGCATCAACAATGAGGTTGTGCCGCAATCGGATAGCGCCAAATACCTGGGTTTTCATCTGGATCGACGTCTCGCCTGGAAAAAGCATCTCTGGACTAAGAGACTACATTTAAGTGAAACAGTTCGCGCGGAATGTATTGGCTCATCGGTCGTAAATCCCAACTATCCATGGAAAGTAAATTAATCCTGTATAAAGCCATTCTGAAGCCTAAATGGATCTATGGGATATACAGATATGGGGCGCTGCCGCAAGTTCTAACATCAACATTATGCAGAGATTTGAAAATAAGATGTTAAGAATGATTGTCAACGCACACCTTGGTACGTGCCAAATGAGCTCATCAGAAATGATCTGCAAATGCCCACTAATACAGGAGGAGATTCGAAGATACGCCATAAAACACAGGGAGAGGCTGAAGGAGCATCCTAATTTCCTGGCGAAAAACCTGCTCATAGTTAAAGGCAGGAGAAGACTTAAAAGACAACGAGTCATCGACTTCGATAATACGTAAAGTCTTTTATAGTAATATATATTTGTTAATTGTTGAGTGTGTCACTTGGCATCATTTCAACTCATGTTAATTTTTTTGCACAATCGTCAGTAATTTTACTCATTGTATCAAATACAGATTGTAAAATAAATCGGAGATAGTATAAAAAAAAAAAAAAAAATCTCGGGTTCGGAAAATGCAAGGATTTTCTACAGAATGGGTTTTTTTCCCATTTTGAGGCATTTTGTCCCAATCTTGCCCCACAGTGGGGCAGAATTGGGACGATTTTGGGGCACATTTGAATAGGTTTTAGTCACAATAATCAATAAATTAAGCAAAATCTTGCAAACAAACTTCAATTCTTCTCCTTTTTTCTTCTTTTCTTCGGGACTTAAACAGTTTTTCATCTTTTCTCTGAAGAACTTGCTAGATTGGCGAATCTTTGACGTCTGTTTTGCACCTTTTCTTTGTTTTCAACATTTTCAATTTGGCTGAAGAATCTCTGCATGAAATCTGCATGGTTTGATCTTGAGGAAGATTCCTTGAATAAATCCTTGCTTTAAGAAAGCCCAGATTGGATATTTTTGACTGTGAAACTCTTTAACACTTCCTCTGCAGATATTCTTTCAATGTTGTGATCTTCCTGGGTTTTATTCTTGTATTTTCTCATGATTTGAGCTGTTAAAGCCAAACAACGACATTAATAACAATTCAAAGACAATAGAAAAGCATTTCTTTGACGATAAGAGTGTAAAATTGACAAATAAATTACTTTTTCGCAATTTTAGGGCTTCAAATTCACTCAAATTCACTTTTTCCCATTTCTTTTGCATGAGATTTTAATATTTAGTCTACAAAAAACCACTTAGATTTTCCACAGAAACTATTATGCCAAAACATCCCCTAAATATGTGAGAAATTATTGGAATATTTTAATTGGCTTTGTTGGACAATGTCTTGTGAATGCTGAGAAAGTAAACTGAAATTGCGAAAATTTGGATAATTTCTCTCTAAGACATTTTCTATAATATCAGTGGTAATTGGAAGCCTTCAGAGACCTTTGATTACCATTCATGGCTGTGGATAAATAAAACGCACTGTCCCAATCTGCCTCACTCTCCCCTACACACACTTTTTTCCTTAAACCTTCAATTTGTTGTCTTAATGACAAAAAACTCCATAAAAAACACAAAAAATTCACGGAAAATAGCTAATAAGACGAGATATTGGCCTTTTCCTCTTCTGTGTTTTAATATCTAAGCATAATCAAATGATCTTAATGATTGTGAAGACAGCAAAAATAACTTTCGTTCAATATTTTTGGCGGGAGCGCGCAGCTTATGCTCTGCAGCATGAGAAAACGAAACTTCTCACAGAAAACCTTGCTTTTCAGGCGGATGGAAAAGAAATATCACTTTGGCATGTATGAAGGAAATTCATCCCCTGAAGTGCTCTAAACACAGGAAAAATAATCCAACATAAAAGTTCTTTCGTTTCGGAGATATTTAGTAAAATGTGGTCAAAAAACCGGGGATTTTTTACCTAGTGGTTCACAAAAGATCATTTTTGACCAACAAGAAGTGATCTAAAATACCCACAATGCTTGACAAAGTAGTAAATAATTTCAATATCGACAGGTGCATCGAAAAAACTATGAAAAGACAAAATTGTAATTTTTCAGCAAAGCGATTTCAAGATTTTCACTTCAATATCGCTGCAAAATTTGCCAAATTTATCTTAAAAAACGCCTTCAAAGCGTCCGTAAAAGTGCAAATATTGCTCAGTATTTATGATTTTGTAAATATTTCAATTGATTTTAACAGTATTTATTGGAATTTTTGTACTAAAATATGACAAAATTAATAGGAAATCGGAAAATATTAATTTCTAAAGTCAATTTTTAATAATCTTAGAGTCGATTTTATCCAAATAGGGTTCGAAAAAATCAAATTTTTACACTTTTTCAGACATTTCGTTAAAGTTTTCAAGTGAAAAAAAAAATAAAAAGATATGAAAATTATTCATAAAAAGTCTAAAAACTATTTAAGAATGATTCTGAAAATTTACAAATATTTTCTTTAAAGACGTTTTATGTGAGCGCGCCGATTAAGAGACCTCTTAGGCTGCTTCTCTTATCACTTAAAAACGGCGCGCTCAAAATCGATTAGGCGCCGACATCTTTGGGTGCATTTGCACTCGTGCGCAGTCGGCCGGTGCTCAGCGGAATGTGAATGGGTTTATAAGGGGATTACGCTGAGTCATCGGCCTCTATCACTACTTCAATCGCTCATCATCACCATATTACAATTACTATTAATCTCTGTTTTTTGTGGCAAAATTATCTGTGTAATTTCTTGGAAAATTGAATTGTTGCTTCTTGAATCGGGCATTTAAGTTTATTGGTTCTGTGAATAAATATTGTTAAATTCACGCGAGTGTTTTCCTGTGACGGCGAAGAGGAGGAATCAGCGCAGAGCTCCCGGACGTTCTTGGGCACTGAGAGGGCGCCGGACACAGAATTTTTTGTCCTTCATCCGCGGATGGAGTGATTAAAGTATTCTGTGTATTTATCAGGTGAGCTAGAGGCAATATTGGGCACATTTCCTGGCGGAGGACTGCAGGAGGCGTGAGGTGTATTAATCCACGCTCTGCCACTTTATTTATCAGGTGTGTTCGTCACATTATGTATTTGACTGTAATTTTTGAGACATTTTTCTTGGGGGAAAATTCTTCAGCGTAAACAATGAAAAATTGACTTTTCATTGGTAAAACATGAAATTTTTCTCCATTTGTGCTTTTTTAGTTAAATAAGATTTTTTACAATTGTCTCTTAAGTTAAAAATCTTAAAATTCTTGTACAGAAGGAACAAATAAAAAACTTTTCAAAAATAACATAAGACGAAAACTATGATAAATCGACTTTTCATAGTTTTCCATTCACCCCTTCGATATCTGTCATTTGAGTCTAATTTGGGGGAAATCCGTTGGAAATTGGGCGAGATTTGAGCACAAAAGTGCAGAAAAGTGGGAGAAAATAGGGGAAAATAGGCTCAAAAAGGACGAACTTCTGAAGGAATCAGAGAAATCCACACTTTCAAAAAAGGACAGAAAAGTGTTGCGCCGTGTTATTTGATTAATTACAGTAGAAAAAAAAGAAACAAAAAAAACACATGATTTTCATGAAATTGTTGTCTTCGCAAAATCTTTCTACGCACTTTTAATTGTTTTTCTTGCCATTTATTCTTGGTAGAAACACTGAATGTTTTTTTTTATTTTCTCTCTAAATTTTTTATCTTGTTTGTCTTCACGAAGTTGTGCAAAAATATTTCTGTCTATTCAAACTATTTTTTTCTCTCTCTTTCACACGCACTTTTTCCACACACTTTTCTTCATCTTCATCTTCTGACGCTTCTTGAAATGTTCTTCTCTTCTTATGTTTTATTCTTTTAACACTATAAAGTTTTTCTTTTTCTTCATCTTTCTCACTTTCATTTTAATTCCTCTCAATTACAAATATTTTTTTTTTGCTCCTTGTTTTTCTTTTCACCTATTTTTCTTTTCTTCTTAGTTATTTGATATATTTTTCCATTTTTTCTCCTTCTTCTCCTTCTTCAGCTTCTTCTTCGATGGACACACACACACATAGAAAAAGAATTTGCCCAGAATGAACCAAAAAAAAAACAGAAAGAAAAAATCTACAAGATTTTCCATTTCTTCATCTTCATTTCCACATTATTTTAAAAAATTATTATCGACATATTTTTTTTCACCTCACATTCTCATTGTTTCTTCTTCAGTTTCTTCTTCTTCTTCTTCTCCTTTTTTTTTTTGCTATTTTGATCCCAAAAATACACATGATTTCAATATCTTTTTCCTCCTCCTTTTCATCATCATCAATTTGCGGTAAAAAAGTGTTTTTTCTTCTCTCTCTCTTTCTCTTGAGTCTCAAAAGCCAAAGACAAATTGATTTTTCTCTGTCATAGTAAAAAAAACAAAAATTGTACGAAAAGAGAAGGAAAAACACAACAAAATTAGTTTCTTTTTTTTATACACAATATAAATGTAGAGAAAGAATTAAGCTAGAGACAGGAAGAAAAAAAAGAAGTTTTGCTTAAAAGCCTAAAAATAAAAAAGAAAGGGTTTTTCCTCCTCCTTTTATGCAGAATTTTTTAAGAAATTAAAGAAATGCCGCGTCGTGGCGACTCACGCGTGCACCGATCAGGAGTGATCTGCTGCTGCTGCTGCCCTATAACAGCGTGCAGCAGCAGTAGGACTTCTTTTGGCGCTTCTCCGACGTCATGTTCATCTCTCGCACTATCGTGGCGAACACCTCGTTCACGTTGATGCGATCTTTGGCGGAGGCCTCGATAAACGGGCAATCCCACAGCTCTGCGAGGGTGTTTCCTGCCACAGAAAGAAAGAAGAAAATAAATAGTTGAAATAGTGTGACAAAGCTTGTTAAACACGATAGTAATTGCTTTTTTTTTTCCACAAAAAATCTACAAAAAGTATGTAAAAAGAGGTGATTTTTCGTTAAAATCCGGACATTTTTACAAAATATAACAACTGTTGACAAACTTTTACGAACTTTTACCCTCTCATCAGTGACCACAGCACTGTCTTCGCTGCAAATGCGAAAGAGACAAATAGATTTTCAGCATATTTAGTATATTTGTCTCTGTTTCTTCGGTGTTAAGACAGTTTTTGTCAAAAGATGGTGGAAAAGAATGTATTTTTATCGTGAAAAGTGCCGTAATTCATCAAAAAATGCAGTTTTCACCGCGGAAAAGTAGTGAAAAAGACCATCTTCAAGTGTGGAAATGTGCGTCTTTGCAGCAGACACTATTGAGTAAGTGTTTTATGTGTTTTATACTCTTGAATTGGTGAATTTATCCGCCTCATAATTGACTTATTCTCTTTCCAGAGGGCTGAGTGTTGAAATTTGTCAAAATCAGAATCAGTGGAAATTGACTGATTTTGAGAAATTTGCGAGTCTTGGAGTGAAAAATCAGTCAGAAACTGAGTGAAAATTGACTCAAAATCAATCAACACGATTGCTTTATGTCTCAATTTTAAGATTTTACTTCAATTAGAGTATCAAATTGCCATCGATGGCATCGGAAATGGATAATAGAATAATTATTTTAATTGTTTTTAATATTATATTGATAATTTTCCTTATTATTGCTGAGATATAAGCATCTCTTTTCTTGCGCTCGCGTAAGAGGCTCAGAGACGGAAAATAATTTCTTTCCATGCGCGCTATTTAGTCCCTGAAGAGTCCTTCTTTGCAGTGTCGAGGCAACGATAATCCAAATTTTATTATGTCATACATAATCCTTGCCATAAACATTTTCAGTTTTGAAGGTTTCTTTCTTCTTAATTGAATGGAATTCCCAAATTCTTCATCCTTTGCTTAGTGCTTAAGTCTCATGAATCAATGAATTGAACATGTGAACATATAAGACAAATCCAATTGTAATCAGAAGATGAACAATTGGTTGGACAAAAAAAATGGATGGAGAAATTTTTGCAAAGGGGAAGAAATTGATCCCCATCTCGTGGGGCAACTCAAGATCGCCTGCAGAAGTCTCATTTTGCTCCCGGGACTTCTCGTATAACCGCAGGAGAACATCTGTACGTTAATAATGCACATTATTCACATATTTGTCGCCCGAGGGTTAATTTTTGGCCTTCTTAAGGCGCTGAAGACACTCCATGATGATTCTTTTGGGGTAAAAGTTAAGTTTGAGGAGCATTTTTATCATTTTCTGCCTCAAACACATCAATTCGGCACAAATCAAAGCAACAAAATAACATTTCTGGCTGCATTAAGAAAGCCTTTTTCCCTCCCGAAAAAATTCCGAAGGCTGATTTTGACTCAAAAGACACTCACGAAACTTTCAAAATTGTGATCATGTCAACAAGTTAAAAATCGATGAGGTTCTGTTGATTCTGATTTTGAGCCATTTTCAACACTCAGTCCTCTGCTTCACAGAGCTTGACTGAAGCCTCTTGAGCATAATTGGGCTATCTCACCCCGATACCATCCTTGAATCCTGGCCTTAAGCACTTCTTCCAGGGTCTTTTTCTGCTTCTTTTGGCACAAATCAACCCAACCTCCGGACCACCCCCAATGAAATGGGGCATAAAGTTCTTCGGACACTTCTAGAAAACCCGTGGACCCTAGATCCTGGGACGGGTCGGCGCCTCGGAGGAAGCGCCACACCGTGGAACGAGAGTTAGTTGAAATTCAATGAAAAACCATACAATTTTAGGTAAAGTTTAAGAACGGCCGTGGTGCAATCGGTAGAGTGTCCCTCCTCCCCCCCCCCCCCTTCTAATCTAATCTAAGGGAATTTGGACTGGGTCTCGTTCTACGATGTGACACTCCCTCCGAAATGCTTTATTTTGGTCACTATCATAATTATTTCCTAAAAAACATGGATTTTTTTTTTAAAGTAATTCTTTCTTTAGCCAAAAAAAAATGTTGTAAAAGTTAAACAACATTAATAATAATGTTTTTCGTAGATGATATAAAATTGGAGCAATTCTGAGTCACACAAAATATGTTAAAAATGTGTTATATTGGCTTAAGAAATGTCTTTGCTATTCTCAGTCACAACATTTAAAGCTAAAAAATTGCGCTTGTGTTATTTGCCATTCTGGGGCAAACATGTGTTAAGCCATTTTATATCGTCAGAGTGTGTAATTTTAACACAATCTCCAGCAGGTTGTTTAAAAGAATGTGTCATAAAGCACATGACAGATTTAAATCTGCAAATATCTTGCAAAGACGAATAAATCTGCAATTTTGGCTCTAATTTTCAAGCATAAACATGAATTATGTTTACAGTAAATTCATTTTATCACGGATTTACTAATTATTTACTTGAATTTTAAACAATTTTTTCTTCTCTTACACATTGTGATGGCGCTTAAAACTCTAAAACATTATTTTAATGAGAATAGCAAGGGCTGTTTTTTTTCTTATTCGTTTTTGGAATGTTAAACTTTAACATGTTTGAAGTTTAACATTTTTGTGTGTGACTCAGAATTGCTCCAAATATTTAAGGCAAAAAAAAACTGCAATAAAATTGCGTCTAATTATTGTTCAACTCAAATTCGCTCTTATTGAGTCAATTTATTATTGCGCGATTGGCAAAAATTGCATCTTTTGAATGGTGGTGAAAAGTGGAAAGAGGAAAATTGCTTTTTTTTGCCACCAACAAACACAAAACCACATATTGTGGAAAAGTCCTGCCTTTGATCTTATCATCTGCTGTTAATTCACCTTCAGTTCTTCCGGCAACGGGAAGAAAATAAGGGAAGAATGGGGAAAAAAAAGGGAGAAAATCCTGCAACTTTTGATCGCGTGCCAGAGATTTTTCTCAATCTTCAGCGTGTGTGTTTGGCTGGTGGAAGAAAAATGACGAATGCGCGCGGAAAAATGAACTCACCTTCCTGTGTGGAGACTTCTCTTTGGCATTCTAAATCTAGTTTATTGGCGACTAGGAGAATAGGTGCAGGTTGACTTCCCTTAACACGACTTATAACATTTTTCATATTTGATATATCCTGCAAAAGAGACAGAAAAAACATGCATTGAATAAATTATTGCCAATGACAAGGGGGAGATAATGTGTCTTTAATCTGTACACTAGACTTTCTCACACTTTCAGAATTTTGCAACACCTTAAATATGCGTTTTTCCCCAAGGATTGCTCAAGTTAAGGAATGAATTTAACCATTTTTGAAGCTGTTTCAGTTGGAATACTAAAGAATATTCCAGGAATGGATGGAAATTTAAGTGAAAAATTCCATGGAATGAAATGTTAAGTTGAGATTAAAGAATGAGATTGAATTATTTATTGAAAGGCATTTAAAATCTTCCCAAAATTAGCCAAATTGGTTAAATTGTGGTGTAAAAAAGACAAAAAAATCAGGAAAATATGTGAAAAAAACTTGTCGTGAGCTGAATTCGAACTCACAACGGAAAGTCTGCGAAGGAAAATGACGTAAAATTGCGATTTTAGCAGCTTTCCAAACGACTTTTAGTGGAAAATTACATTTTGGGCTTCGAAAAGAGTTCTTTTGATCATTTTTAAGACCTAGAATTGACATAAAAGTGGTAAAAAGAGTGGGAAAAATTTCTCTCTCTGAGAGAAAAGCAATTTTGAGCATCAAATTGAGGTTATTAGAGATAATTCTTGAAGAAATTGAGCGAAAAATGCTGATAAAAACACTAGAAAGTGAAGGAAAATCCTGGAAAAATGAAACAGAAATGAAAAAAAAATCAGAATTGAAGGAGAATCGAACTCGCGACACTTCAAGATCTTTTGCTAAATTGAATTTTGTGCAAAAGTCTTTCCTGTCTAAGACGATTGCGAAAAAATTGAAGTTCGATTTGGGAGTATTTTGTAATTATTCGAAAGAATATTCCAGAAATGGAATGGAATAGATGGAATGGATTGGAATATATAAAGAAATCAAAAGAATGGAAACCACTTTTCTTCCACTTGAGTAACTCTTTGATTTTCCCTTATTTTCTTCACATTTTTCAGCACTTCAAAGAATTTTCTAACCATCTAAAGTATCATAACCTCAAATTTACTTGTATGACTTTGAAAAAAACTTACTGAGAAATTAGTTTTTAAGAAACATTGAAAGTGTAAATTAAGATTTTATTGAATTTTCAATTATTCCTTTGGATGCATTTTGGATCATAACCTAAAAATTATCTTAAGATATTTTCAAAGAATTCTTGAAATAAACTTATTCGAAACGTTTTTAGGGTAATTTTCGGAAATATTGATCTTTTTTCATTCAACAATAAACTAAAATTTGATATTTTAGTGTAAGAAATACAATGAAAATCTCTCAAAATAGTCAATAGTCAAAGCAAGAGGGATGATTCTTTATTGCTGCGTCACGATGAATGTCAATTTGGCATTAAATAGCATTCCGCCATGCAAATGTCCAACCCTGCCGTCCGGGAGACCGGATGGCGACTCCTTTGGCGCTCCTGTCGCACGCACAAGTCTTGGCGACAATCGAGACTCTGCCGAGGCAGAAAAAAGTAAACAAGAAGGGCAGCAAAGGCGACTTTATTCACTAATTCAGCGAGACTTTGTGGGTTTGCGAGGAAAAACCGGCGCAATTTGCGCCCCCTTAATATACAGTGAGAAGCAAATTCACTCTCTTTCCTCACACTTCATTGAATTATTCAACTCGCGACAGTCTTTAAAAAAAAATGCCCATGAAAAATTCACGGTGGAAAAAAGCTCCGGATATTGATGTAAATCCACCCATTTGTTCGCCCCTTCCAAGTGACATTTCCGCTCTCTATCGAACATGTTGTGAATTAAAAATAAAATATTTAAATGCCGTAATTTTTTAATAGCCCATATTCGTTGATACACTTTCCATTCTCGTCTTTTTCCACCGTGCGTTTCCCCCGTTTTTCACCAACGAAATTGGCAGAAACCCAAGGGTTGCTGAAGTTGGAGAAAAAGGGGTTTTCATTCCATTCCATTCCATTCATTCCATGGAATATTCTTCGAAATAATTACAAAAATATTCCCTCAATTCCGAGGGTTGCTCAAGTTGAAGAATGAACGAATCACTTCAGCTCGAATATCAAAGAATGGAGAGAATGAACGAGAATTATAGGAATGGATAAAATTCTTGGCAGAATTAAACATCAAAAAGCCCAAAGAATATGCGGAATTTGTTGTAAATATTCCGTTTTTCAGTCGGAATACAAGATTTTCTACTAAAATCGCATTTTCGCGCCATTTTCCTTCCATTTTCACACTCTTTAAAAGTTTTTATAGCATTTTTATAACATTTAGAATAGTTTCAAACCCGAGAAATTGACATTAAAGCGTTAAAAAGGAATTTCGGAGTAAAAAGTTAGTGAAAGAAAAGCAATTTCGAGCATCAAATTGAGTTATAAGAAATAATTCTTGGAGGAATTGAGGAAAAAACGCTGATAAAAAGCTATAAAATGAAGAAAAATACACGAAAAAGGAAAAAGAAGTGAAAAAGAATTATAGAATAAAGAATATATTCATTATTCGCTCATTTAATGAATCTGTTGCACAAATAAGATTTTCTTCCAATCCATTGATTCAAATAATTGTATGAAAAAAAGTCTAAAACAAGAAAATAAGTGAAAAAAAATTTGCCACGAGCTGGAATTGAACTCATGAACGCAAATGTGCGAAAGAAAAAGACACGAAAATGCAATTTTAGCAGCTTTCCAAGCGACTTTTGCGGAAAACAAGATGGAAAATTATATTTTCCAGAAGCAAGAAGAAGTTTTAAGCCGAAATTGACGTTAAAGTGTTAAAAAGAATGTTAGGGAAAATTCTTAGAGAGAAAGAAAGGCAATTCTGAGTCATTTCTTAGAGATTATTCTTGAAGAGAATCAGTTTATTGAGTGTTAGAAAGAGTTTCAGACGAAAATTGAGCGAAAAGTGCTCAAAGAATATTTCCGAAGAATGGATTGGAATGAAAAGGAATGAATTGTGGAATATTGTTGGAATTTTGAGGAATGAAAACCACTTTTCTTCCACTTGAGCAACCCTTGCTCCATTCCTAATTCGTAATTATGTTTTTGAAAGACCTTTGCACAAGTTTCAGCGCAAATCTTCGAATCGTGAAGTCGCAGGTTCGATTCTCCTGCAAATTCGATTTTTTCACAATTCTTTATCATTTTTCTTTCCTTTTTCAAGTATTTTCCTTCACTTTATCAGCATTTTTCCCTCAATTTTCACCTAAAAGTCTTTCAAAAACTAAATATTATTTCGGAAATTGCTTTTTTATCAGAGAAATAAAGTATTTTCACCTAAAATGCTATTTATCAGGTCTGAAACTGCTTCTAAGAACTCTTTTTTCAAGGCTAAAATGTAGTTTTCCCCAACAATCCTTTGGAAAACTGCTAATATTGCATATTCGCGTCATTTTACTTCGCAATCTTACTTTTGTAAGTTCGAATCCAGATCGTGGCAAGTTTTTTTTCACATATTTTCCTGTTTTTGACCTTTTTTCATGTCACAATTTAATCAATTGACTAGTTTTAATAAGTAATTATTCATCACAAATCCAGCAAAATGATATTTGTAAAGCAGATGAATTGAAATACTTTCGATTATCAACACTGAGACGTCGATGGACATAATTTAGGCTAATAAAAGCATGTTATTATGAATGATTAATAAATATATTCTATATATTCCATGTATTCTACTTTAAAATTTAAAATTCGCCCTGGAATTTGTGCAAGTTTTTCTATTAAAGTCTTTTGAGATTTCAGAATAAGAACACTTTGTGAATTTCTGCCATTCTTCTATTCTATTCTGCGTATTCCATGGAATTTTGACTTATATTTCCATCAATTCCTGGATATTCTTAATTATTCTGGTTGAAATGGTTCATCTATTCCTCACTTGAGCAACCCCTTGTCAGTTACATAAAATACGACATTTTCTCATCCTTCGAATCGTCTTTCTTTCTCTCTTTCTCTCTCGTGGTCTTGGTTTCACCCTCACATTTCGTGTTCACTTTCTTCCTTCGCGCCTCTTTCCATTCTTTAATTTTAAATGGAGGCGACATGAAGCCTGACCACTCATCTTAAACTCTCGCCCATTCATCCAGTCTTCCGAGCGTCTTGCACGCCTTTTTCCCTTCTTGTGAATATTTAAGACATGCGGCGCACTTCATGCGCACTTTGTGGGACAAAAAAACAGAAACAAGGAAGAAATAATGATGAATATTGGTCACAATAATCATCATTCAACATTGTGTTGTGGGTGGAAAAATTATGCGACTCATGCAAAATCAATACTTAATTTTCCCTTTTCCTCTTCCAACACGCGCGCACACACACAAATTGCCACCCTTTTGCAATGTCTCTTTCTTCACGCCACGAGACACAGTTGAGGAGAGAATTAAGGAGGGAATTGCTCAAGAGGTTGACAAATACTCGCATTGACAGCACAGCGCAAATAGAAATGAAGAATGTATGATTATTGGAATGCCTCCACATTTGCATTAGCAACCAATAGAAACGTAAGTAAGCAGTAAGATTGTCAGGATGAAAGTTCAAAATACAAATAAATTTACAAATTTGAATATAAAAGAAATTATCACTGAAAAAGTTGGACTGATAAAGAAAATTAACTGTCTTCCCAAGGAAAACGGTCTCAGGAAAAATTCTTTGACAAGTTATTGGGGAAAAAGTGGAGCAAATTGGCTGAATCTACTGAGTTTCAGAAAATGCCTCAAATTAGACATTAAAACTGATGGTTTTCGCTCTAAAGGAGAATGAAAAGACGTTGTAAATATTCCAACGCTGCCCCGCCGTGGGGTAGTGTTAGAATGCACTTTTATTTACCACAAATTACATCGTGGAATTGTTGAATTGCAAGAAAATGATCAATTTGATGTCTTCTTTACACACTGAGACTGTTTAATTCCCTAAAAATCGCCTTTAAAATACTATTTTTGAGACTTTTCTCGACATTTTCACGAAATGTCAAAATTCCTTAGTGAAAAGCAAGCGTCAGAAGTGG